ATTTCATTGCATGAATCGGAGGTCAATCCATACCAAATAGTAGCCGTGGAGACGAATCATACTTGACACTCTTTGTTCCAGAATCACAAAGGAATCTTTGTGAACGACTGCTAAGCTGGCCAAGGACCGAGTATTTATAGTTATTCAGCAATGCATTCACTCTGCGTCAATGAGATCATCATTTTGAATTGCGAGGGCTCAAACGCGAACTTCTCTTCAATAATGACTGACTCAACATTTCATCATTGGCTTAATGCAATTTTCAGAGAAATTGAAATTTGCGCCTAGTGATCCAGACAGAAAATATAAAACGTTTCTGGCTGTCGGCATTGTTTAAACAGTCATGAGGATCCCGCTGATAAAAACCGATGACAGTCATCAACATTCACCACCGTCTGTCCGCCCCTTATTGCGACGGGCAAGGTGACGAGATCATGCGATTTCATCTCACTCACCGGCGATGAGCCCGTTACTCCACGCAACAGCAACTCACCAAAGTCAGGCAGACCGCAATGTTGTTTGTTGCCTACCTCGCATATCGGCGAAGATGCATGGCACCTACACAACATCAAGAAGATACAAGCTATGTTACGGCGCGGGACTGACTCGCACAGCCCCATCTCACAACAGAGTCTCCTGTTTAGTGAGTCAGATTATAGGTTAACAACAAGTCTGTAGAAAAAACCTTTGCGATCAGTCTCATCTTGCGTCTGGCAATACCCACATCAATCTCCTGGGAACGAAGCGGAGGTGGGTGGGTACTCGGAAAATATAAGCCAATTAGTGCCATCGATGGCCCACATGCTCACAAGTCGTCTTTGAAATAATTGGCTCATAATTGGCCTTGGCTCCCAGGAGCTCATAGCTAAATTTAGACCAATCATTTCTACGGAGGCTTTATGGACAATCTGGATTAATCATGGCACCTATTGGCTCGTCATTCCTCTGCTCTATTAGTGGTATCCAATTATAGCATTCTACTCGACGACCCACAGACTCCTGGGAGCCCGACCCTACCATCATACCTACCGTAATTGGATAGCCAGTCAGCAATACCCACATCGAATTCCCGGGAGCTGAGTGCACATGTGATCTGGAGCCAAATTGATTGTAAATCAACTCGATTGTCTGTATAGAAATTTCTGAGCTAATTCAGATGCTACGGCCTGCTTCCTGATCTGTGAATCCTCATCCCACAAGATAAGTATTCCCTTGTTCCCCCATCTGATCGTAATTTACCAATCTTCTTCTCTTACGCTTCTAAGAATTTTCTCGATTGACAGATGGCTTCATCACAAGAGCCATGGAACTACTGTTGTGGTCGACCGTGGTATTGTAATCATCTAAAGCTACATCCATCCCCCGTGTCAAGCTATGGACAGTGAATGGAACCAAGCGGGCTGGCATTGTAGGATCGCAGCTCTCCATGGATTGCCTTTTACCGGGCTGCTTGTTATATAATCATTCTTTTACGGTGTAAATCTAGCCTACCTGAAAAAGCCGCAACCTAGCTTTACAGCCATTTCACCACCTTTTTCATTTACGAACCCTTTTCATTGGATCCAATGATATGATTGATTCATCATTGACAATTTGAATTTCTTCATCTTTCGGAATGACTTAGTTTGATTCAATCAAGGTACATAAAGCCACCTATTGCGCTTTACGTGATATTCTGGCTTTATATCGCCTGCATGGTCAAAATTATGAGCTGTATCTAATCTGTGTCAGCTGTCCCATAATGTAAGCTTAAATGGTAGAAAATCACCTCAAGTGCAATGTCCCGTTTTCTTGAAATCATGCCAAAGATAGCGACTCCTAGCAATATAACACCCATATTTGATAAATGGGTCAAGATAACATGCAGCTTCTTCCGGCCCTGCGTGACACCTTTTACTAACCATAGGCACCATGCCATTTCACTGAGATGATCCAAGAAAATTAAGAAGGGAGTGATGGAATGAATGTCATCGCGCATGAATGTCCCAATGAATGTAATTATTATTTTCAGGGCCGTAGACGTCAAAGCATATATTCTGAATACGACACGCGTCGATCGATTTATGAAAGGATTGTTGAGCTGCTGAAAACCGATGCGGAGAAACTGAGCCAGTATTAGCATAAAAATGGCTTTTTTAACGGATATGACGAACATTTTGCATAGAAGGAATTGTTGAAAGTATTCCAAGAAGAATTTGAATCCATATCGATTTCTTGTCGCTCCAGAAAATCCCTGCCAATACAGCGGACAGGAGAAAGGATAAGACGTATAGTGCCAAGTCCATCTTATATAATGGCCAATTATCTTCGAACACCCACACAAGAAGTGACTTGGCAATCAAGACAGATAGAAGCATTCTGATCAGCAGTGCTTGGAGGGATGATTCGGAAACCATGACAAACGAATCGGAATAGATGTGTGCCGGTGAGAAGGGGACGTCGATGGCGACATAAAGATCATTTAATAAAGCAACGCTTCATTGAACGCCAGTAGAGCCTTAGGATAACCCAGGAAGCGAACCGTCATTCTTTGCGAGTAGAATGTCTGCCTCGCCATCATATTTGAGCTCGCGCAAGGAACTATTCACACTAAGTTCCTAGGAACTCTGCTAAAAATGTGCCAGGGAATGGCATAAAGTATACACGATTTGCGCAGGGTACAGTCCCACATGGCTCATCAGTGCTTTCCTTGACAAGAAAATGCTAATTCTCTTCTGTTTCCTCGCGCTAAGTCTTGTGTCTAAGATCAGCCTGTGGTTCCCTACTTTTGGCTGTTAATGCTTCGAAAACACAAACCGCGTCTACAGATACGTTAGCCCTTGACAGCTATATTCCCGGGAGCAGACCGCTTGATCTGCGGAATCAATATCTTCTAGGAACTACAATGATCCATATTAGTATGACATGAGCTCTGAGTAAGCTAAAAAACTGTAGGAAACCAATTATGGGAGCTTATGCATACAAATATGTGGATAATAATCAAATATTTTCGAGATCAAAGCTGCTTGCAACATAGTCTCGCTATAAATACTGCCCTCCGTATCCTTGTGATGGAATCAATCATCTCATAAAAGCGCAACGAGCTCTCTCCTCTTCACATCTTCACATTGCCAGAATTGAGGCCCCAAAGTAGCGAAGTAATATCATCCTTTTCGAAAACATGGAGCATCTCCCACATATCATTCGTCAGTCATTACCCCATATACAAGCATAAGTACGACCAAAGGTAGCTGACCCGTCTGATTTTATCAGTGCGCCAGGGAGCTTCTTGTCTAGTTGGTCCATTCCCATGCTGCAAGTCTCTAGATATCGCTCAACTCCCCCAGTGGGCACAAACCGTCCTTTCATTTGCTATCATACAAGGAAAATTGTCAACCGTCCGAAGGCTACTCCGTCGACATGATATTGATATCAATGGTCGAAGTCCGAGAGCCCCACCTCCAATCCTGACAGCACTCGAATATCAACAATACGAGATCTTGAGGGTCCTTATGAAAGATCCGGGACTCAATATCAACGTTCAAGATAAGCGAGGATACACCGCACTTCATCTGGCTGTCATATACGACGACCCGGCTGCAATAGACATCCTCTTGGGTCACAAACATATCGACGTCAACCATCTCGATTTTGCGGGGAATAGCGCACTTCTTATAGCTGCCATGGCATGTGACGGCCTGGAACCCGTGAGGAATGATATCATAGATCTTCTACTCTTGAATTGCAAAACTCTGGTGAATCAGCGAGACCAGAGAGGCCGCTCGGTACTGTGGCATGCAGCAAATACTGGCAACAAAAGACTGATCCTTCAACTGGCGCAGCTACCAGATCTGGAGCCTGAGATTCCAGGCAATGATGGTGTGTCTTCTCTGGACCAAGTAAAAAAAGGGGAAAGAACGAGATACTTGCGCTTCTGCAGGGCCTTGCTGCACGTGCTGGCTGCGGGGGGGGGGGGGGGATATCCAAGCATGGCATGCGATGGCCCGATAATCGCAAATTTGAAATGTATTGATAAAAGGCTAGTCGTTCAAGCCAACAAAAAAACATTTCGGGATTCCTTTTCTGAACAACGTACCTTGGGAGGCTTTGCAAACAAAGGGTGTGCTCTCGGGGGTGATCTGTTTTCGAAATCTTCCATGTGTGCGTAGAGCCTATACATGCTGTATCTCCTCGTATACCTTGAGCTCTTACCACTGAAAGTCTTCATCGATTGGTAGGTCAGGGGAAGCCAGAGGCTAGGTCGCGAATCTATTTCGTAAAGTTCGCGTTGAGAGCTTGAACTTACTCTCCCAGCGATTATTCCCGTGGCTCATTAATTTCATCAAGTTAAGACGTAAAAGTGTAGCAATCGAAATTCCGCTTCTGAAGTAATTACTGTAGGCGTCGGCACTGGGTGTCGTTGCGTTGACCTAGCGTGTCTCAAGGCGAGACATATGGGAATAAGATTTCCGTTGACACCGACGAGCTCACGGCCATGCTGGAAGTATATCTTGGCTGATAATTGCGCGGGTCCCAGAATTCTCCTTATATGGCCTGCTATTGAATTTCGCCATTGATATTCGCTGCCCTCTACATTATGTGTTTCTAACCTAATTATCACCCCGGGAGTCAACCATGCGACACCCAATTTTTGTGAGGCAATGTGATTTCCACGTTAGTCAATGTCATTTTTCCATAATTAATTCTACCCCGGGAAGCTTTATTAGTCGCCGACAAGATTCTGCGGCAAAGATGTCTTAGAGTACAGGTTGTTCAACTAAATCGTGTATCTAACCATTCCTGACCAGACATTTTTCTGACCAGGCATTATTTCAGGAACGCAGAAATTTGATAGGCACGAAAAGAGTGGAAGGTAAATACTGGAGTTCATATCCTAGAAGCTATTTAGTCAAGGCCTATAATTGCCCGATCCCAGCTTGGGTGCCATTTGGAATATCATTCTTGACGTCAGTGTCGACACCATACAATATAATCAAGTTCACATGGCTTCGCAAACTACCATGAGCATCATTGATAAGGAGTTTGAGCGCCTGAAGAATATGCGGGAGAACCGTTTGAACAAAGACATCATGAATTACCTCGATCAAACACACAAAGAGATCCAACTCAGGGGCATATGTAACCCCAGAGGCCCGCATAAGAAGTCTCTCGTTCATTTCGCCGCGATGGGAGATTGTACCTCTCTACTTCAAAGTCTGCTGGACGCCGGTGCTCCCGTTGACGATCGTGATCAGAATAAAAGAACATCCCTCTCTTGGGCCGCAGAGTATGGTTCTCTCGGCGCGGCCAAAATTCTGCTGAAGAACGGTGCAAAGGTTAATTCTCTGGATGATATGTACAGCTCGCCGCTTTCATGGTTGATCCATGCTGGTAGTCCTCAATACAAGGGTCTCGAAGCTACCAGATCATACCTCAAAGAGAACGGGGCCACTACGAAGGGTGCAAAGCGCGCATGGATACTTAATAAATTGCGACTCCTCTGAGAACGAGGATGAGGCTGTGCTTGTCGTATATCAAAAACTTATGTTTATTATGGAAGAAGGTGAAATTTAAGAGAAGAACTGGGATTCGTCTTGCAAGTGCCTCATGGCCATCAAATAGAGCGTTATTTACTGCGCAATGAATATTGCCGTGCTACATATCCGTGTCCAGATCACGGGTGCATCCTGCACTGATCCAGCTCTCCCATCGCCTTCTTGTACTCATGATACAAGGTCCGTGAATAATTGCGCAGACGTTCGAGTTCAGAAATGAGATTCTGTTGACGATTTTCAAGTAGCGATACATGCTCCTCGATTTGGCAAAATAGATGATAGAAGCGTGTTCTTGCTTAATGCCCCCTTGGATATTCAAGGAAAGCTATTCAGAATTAGTAGGAAATTTTTGACTGTGCACATCAGACTCACGGTAGCGCCAGAAACGGAGATCAGAGGCGAGGGCCGTGGATGACACGTATCTGTTGGGGGTCATTTCGCAACCAGTGAGATTGTTGACGGGTATGAAACCGTGCTTCTGGTTGCGAGTGGTTTCGGGATCGCCGCAACAATTCCGTATCTGAAAAAGATGATACCTGGTTATAATACCTGCACACTTCATGTCCGTCGGCTGCATTTGGTATGGCAGATAGAATCAATTGGTGAGAAGACCCTTCCGTTTCCAGTCAGCCAGCAGCAGCACTAACAAATTAGAAATGGTCAGCGCAGCTGAGGACCTGCTCAACCCCCTCCTGGAGGACGATTTTATAGATAAAGGCTATGTAAGTCACCGGCTTCAAAATGGAAACTTTGTTTAATATTGACAGAAATCCGTATACAGATTCTCAGCATTTCAATCTACGTCGAAAGAGGGCTTGCTCATGATAAGACGCCAATAGGAAAACATGAAAGAGCCTGCTTTTACCAAGGTGTACCCGATTATGACAACATAGTCTCGCTCGAGGCATTGGGGGACCAGATCGAGAGGCTACCGAACATTCGCGATGAGCAAGGCCGGACCTTGTGATGGGTAAGTGATCCTACTGTAGCCTGGCTCTATTCTCTCGTTTACTTAGCTCTTTCTAGTTTCAGCAGCAGGTAGTATCAGAGACCAGATCTGAAAGACCGTCAAGGGCTTTTTGCATCATGGGGTGAGGCTTTCGGAGCTGGAATATCAGCCGGAGTTATTAAATGACAGGGAGTTCGCATAGACCTAACGCAATAAGTAGCCCCGAGCATTTGATGCTAGTTGGAGTTGCCTTCCATGCACTTGAAAGCGTAGTAAAAGTGTGATATTTGGGCAATTGGAATGCGATATACGACGGATAAATTTGCCGATTTGATCTCCGAATCTCCCGGATCAGCCAATTTAAATGAGCTACTTGGTCAATTATGAATTGACTGGGGCCAGGCATTACACTGAAAACAGCGGCTAGATCTTGATTAATGATGCAATTAATGCAACTCTTTTCTATCAAAATCAAAACGCGTATTATTTAATAGCAGACAGAACAAAAGCTTGAACAATGAGGAACAGGAAGATCGTCGATTACCGTACCATGCATTGAATTTTTTTCATCGGTCATATTACTGCTGCTGTGCCTGGCAAAGTAGGAGTGCCCGTATGGGAATTTGACTTCTGCTTTAATCGTTCTTCATGGGCCCTGGCGTGTACGAGTAGAATGTACGAGCGGAGATCAACGCAAACCATGCAAGTCCGATGAGATTCCCTGGGCGGCATGGAATTTCCGTCAACAGTCGTTGCTAGATATTATTAGTACCGTTTGAAAGCACCGTTATGGAAAAAGTCCGAGGGAAACAAAGCTCTTTCAGTTCCTCAAAAGAGCTTGCCGAATTCGTCGCGCAGAGAAATTCGATCGCAGCCGGGCAGCTTCTCCAGCGGTCGAGATTATCAATTCCTATTGCCCCATCTTCTTTGACATATTTCTGCATCAATTCCATCATGATTCTCGAAACTGGTGCCAAGTCACTGGCTTGAATTGTGCCCTGTTGCCGGATAACACAGCAATCGATCCGTGCTGCCGTGCCTCGTTAGGTAGGGTTGTCTGCAGGTAGAAATGGAATAAACTTACCGATTTTGACCTGCCCATTGAGATTCACAATGACGCTAGAACAATTCAGGGATGTGTGATGGAAGTTGTTCGCCACGAGATATAACAGCCCGTCAATGAACTGGGCCCAGTCAGTCATTTTGTCAGGTGGCAGACAAGTGGAAAGAAATGAGGAACAAACCTGAGACATTATGGCTGCCAGCTCCTGCTCGTCTGGGAAGGCTTTAAAAACGACGATATGATCCAGAACGAGAGGGCCGAAATCCCCCAGTGTGTACAGAAGCTCGGGAGTGCGGAAACACTCCCGAATGGAGGCCAGGTTCTCATGGCGCATAGAGCGGAGAATCCGCAGTATCTAGTCAGCGTCCTCAATCGGATACTGGCGCACCGCCCAGACACCGCGGTCTCCAGAAGATCGAACGCATACCGCGACGGGGCCAGCTAGGTCACAATCGTAGTACTTTCTGAAAGTACCCCAAGGAGATTCGTCTCGGACTGTCAGGCCCGAACCAATAATGCTCTGCCACTGCATAGTCTTCTGGCGAGGCGGGCTTAGTGGCATCAATCGAGTTTTCTTGCCGGTGTACTCCGAAGTTAAGGAAGTGATGGACCTCTTTCCAGGTGCGGGTCCTAGATGGAGAGGTTGTGGACCGGGCTCGAGGTCAGTTACCGGTGATACTTCTGCTCGGGTTTGCGGCTGGGGAAGCAATGCAACTTGAGCGGCCTGGATTCTTGTCACTCTTTTTTCGCCGAGTTTTCGCATTATGGAAGGAATTTGGCCAAAGCGTTGAAAGCAGAAAGATGAGCATGAAACGCAAAGAGAGAATCTGGTCAGTTTAAATGGGCTTTTCGTACGGGTGGAACACTAGGGTGTTGGATCAAATCCTCACCGGCAAAGAAACGCGGTGCCAACGTTGAGCCACCACAACAAGGGAGTCCAGATATATTTATAAAGGCATTCACGCCCGATAAAACCAAGCCAATATTGAGCCCCATCTTTATCCTGACACCATGACTCGACATGTCTTCACCGAGCAAGAGGTGCGACTCGCAGCAGAACGACGACTCAAATACATTGGTGCTGCTAAAGTCAGCATCCGCCAAATCCAATTTGAACCTCCCTTACCACGGGACTTGGACCCCAAAAATTTGGATCGGCTACGGAATATCTTTCGTAAGAATCGTTGTCGCCGCCTCGATGTCCACAACCATGTGCCCGCGACCGTGTCTCGGCATGACCTCGCGGATGCATTGCAGAAGGCGAACGTTCCCCAGGAATCATTGCTGACAACCGAAGGCCGCCATATCCCCCGGCTAGAATTTCGGACGGGGCAACTTAGGGGTCTCCATGGTCGTCATCGCGTACAAGCTGGCGTCGCGGTACTCCCCCCCGGCGGATCGCTGGTGGACGGTTGATCTCTACACAGACGGTACGTGACGGACCCTTACCTTCCGCCAGATCGATATTGACAGTCCCACAAGACATTGGTGAAGAACTGAGAGCCGCGTTGGTGGAAGAATATTCCAATCAGAAGAAGCCGACCGACGGGGAGGTCTATCGCAAGATCAGACAGTATGAAGGCGAGGGTAACGAAGCTTTCCGAGAGCGATGGTTCGTGAGACTATCGCCCAGCAATCAAGACCGTTTAGATCAACTCGACAATAAGACGAATCGTCGTCTCCGGCATGCAATTGACCGATTGCTAACGATTCCTGGACTTTGGCCAGGCGGAATGAGAATCAGCCTGCTTCATCGATTAATCGCCTCGGGCTGCATTGAGGTGAGTTTCAGGCTCAAGCTGCTGTCTTTCGCTGGCTAACCACAACTCTTCATTTCTCAGGAGATAGCAACCTATTTTGACCACATCTTCGACTTCTGGTCTTCTCTGGTCGGATCGGATCGGCGTCTGATGAAGAAAATCGATCGGGATACAGTTCACACCCTGCAGTTACTGGCACCAGGTAAATCACGCACTGATGAAATGACGGCGTGCGGGATGGTTCTCAGTGGCCATGTGTTTGCCGAGTTCAGTGCTGACGAGCGAAGCGCGGTATAGGCCAGAATGAAAGATTTTGATGGTCTCATTCCGTCCTTGTACACTTTCTTTGAGGATTTCAAGTACCTGGAGAGTTGCGCTCACTGTCTGAAGCGGCTCTTGGGCCCATCCCCCCCGATCTGTGAGAGAAGCCATGAGCTCGATGTTTGACCCAGACTCGGAGTCCGAGGAAGATCACCGAGAGAAAGGGAAGTGTATCATTCAGACCTCGGAGTCAACTTTCCGACGCCTGCGTGCGACCGAGGCAGAATGCCTTCAGACCGGATACCAACAGGTATGGCTCTATGCCATGCGATATTATCCTCTGATGCCCCCGGACCCCAAGAACACTGATGATCTGTTGGCCAAACCGACTCGCGCTAAGCCGGACCCGCGCGCGATCTACGACATGGCCCATCTTGCTCATCAGCTCGGGTTTCGATCCCCAGAAATTGATGGGCTGCTGAACAGTTCTCCGGATCACCAAATTGCACGATCGGCCCTTCTCCAGGCCCGAAAGTCAGGGCGATATCGATACAATGACCAGCAGTTTGATGTTCTGGTGCGCCGAATTGTAGATTGTTTTACTGAAGCTGTACCCGATCAGCCTGGTCCCTCGCGAGATCTTTTGGCAGACAGTACCGTCAAGGCGCACGCTCGATCTGGGGTACCACAGACCCGTACCCATGTGCAAGATGCCCCATTTTTATTTTTAGATAGATTGCATGCTGATGTCGATGTCGCCGACACCATCACTAGCTTTTTTGTTCGCCGTTGTGTCTTTTTCGCATTTTTGGGAAAGCCGCCAACGGCTGATCCCATCAATAACAGAAGATGTGGCAATTTGAATGCAGATCAAAGGTTGGAAGGGGTAGTGGAATCGCCCTTGTTTGTTGAAAAGGACGGTGTGCCGGGTGCGCCGGGCTTGGATACGTCTGGACGGCACATGGACACATCCGGCAGGTCATCTCTTCTCCGAAGGAGCAACACTACAACACGCCAGCTAGTTTCCTGCGAGACTGACACTTCAGAAATTGCACCCGAGCCTATGGACTTGGATTTTCTGGAGCCAACTCTAGACCAGGACAGCTTTGATCAAAGAAGTCCATTGGATGGAGATCACTCTACTCCCAGAGGGTCACTGAGCGAATCCGTGCTGGAAATGGTCCCTTCTCATCACGCGTCTGGAGCCAATGCAGAGCTTGGGGATGCTAGAAGTGAATGTACTCAGATCTCGTTGGAAACAGTCTCGATGGAATGGAGTCAGGGCGAGCGAGCAACAGGAGAGGAACCCAACCCCGACACTGGATCTGTCCTTGGAATTGCTGCTCAGGCATCTATCGATCCTGCAGCACAGCGACGATCTTCTTCAGAAACGATAATATTGTCAGAAGAACGCCGTCCCTCCAGGTCTGAAGAACTAGAAGCTTTTCTCGGTGGCCTGAGGAGGGCCCAAGTGGAGCAAGAGGAGTTGGAAAAAAGGATGGAGAGCGACCGGCTCAATGAAGAGCTCAATCTGCTCTATCATAATCAAGCTTTACCGAGAGACTTGCTTCAATTAGGTCAAACTCAGAATTTGTCACTGCCGACCTCTGCTAACCAGCAATCGGAAGCAACATACAGAGAGACCGGGCACATCGCAACAAAACCTGTCGACCCCAATTGTCAAACGTCTACACAACCGCTTATCGAAATCAAGTTCTGGTCACTCGAGCGAGGTCAGTGGAATCAATCAGACTGTCTCCTCGTAGACCGGTTGGATCCCTCACCTATGGAGCGACTCGCACGGAAGTACTCATGCAAAGGATATACACTCTACGATGTGAACCTCAAGAGCCTTCGTCCAGCCCATTGTTACCGCGCAGCAACAGCGGATGATACCAATGCGATATTCTTGATTTCCACACATGAAGAGAAGAATATTGTGGCCACGGACGGATTAAAGAAGGAGGAAAAACTGATGTCCATGTCCGCTCGCGTTGTGGGACGTGCAGGTGAGCGATGAACCAATTTGCCCGGCAGTGCGCGGTACAACCAGGATCTTCATGTGAATCATTGGTTCCTAAGACTTTCTTCTTGGGGAGCTGATGAGGACAAGAATCTTCTTTTGAGAGGGCCGTGTTTCTAGAACACGTCTCCCAGAAGGCCCTTGTTCTTGTGAAGCGCTGCCAATTGAGAGAACCTCGAATGAGCATAAAAATCTAGACGTACCTTCGCAATGCAGCCACCTTTGTAGAGAAGATTACTTGTAAGCATTTGTGCAACTTTGGCACACCTTAATTGCTGGCCTGGCAGGCGGAGATGAACCGGCAAAAGGGATCAACGGGAAAGGATTGCACCATAAGTGCTTGCGTGTTTCTTTCAGAGATCCGTGATATTTTAAAAATTGCTATTAGTAGATTCAACCGGCACTCAAAAATGCAGAATCTATCCATGCTATCCTGCCTGCTGAGTGAAAACTAGCGTTATTTGCAGTGCCTCTAGAATATGATGTTTTATGCAAACCAACACCTTCACAATAGCTTGTTGGACAGGAATTGATGATACTGGAAGCAGGAAAATGAAACATCTCAACAACATGATATCAAAATAGGTTGGTGGACAAGTGCACATACCGATTTATGCATACGATATTGGGTGTCAGATATTCATCACCGAAATGATCAATTGTCATCGTTGATCACAAGTTTTTCTGGTGACACAGTATATGAAAAAGTTTTTGCCACTGTTGGCACCGTTTAATCAGTCGTGGCAATGCCGCAGAAAAGTTTCGATCACGCGATTCGACATTCACCACCAACCTTTAGCTGGGTACCATTCCTCTGCGAGAAGGTCTGGCTAAATTTTTCAAAGGTAGCTGTTGATGTTTGAATATTGGGACAGAGCTGTTGAGCAACATGAAAAGAATGCGGTCGCATTGGAAAAACACCTAATATGATTCATTACCGAGGAGAAACTGGTGTAGCTATGGGCAGCAGCACGAATTTGACCGTGCAGTATGCAGCAGGTCAAAATTTGAGGGTCAATTTCCTTGGCTTTTCCCTCAGTCACCGATGATTGCTGCAACTGTGCAAGTTATGAGGCAGTTCACGGTTCTATAGATAAACCAAAACCATCGTCACCAAGAGAGCTGTTATCGTGACAAAAAAAAACCAGCCCTTGTCATCCTTACCCACTCTTTCTGCGAACACGATTGAAAGCACAATATCATAATCAACTACTGATCTCTTCTAGAGACGACGCAATCTATATATAAATACGTCAACCTTGCTCTTAGCGTCTGCCAACATACTTTGTTTCCGGTATGGAATGAAGCTGGGCTCATCTTTGTAATTGAATGCAAAAAGACGCACCAGCTCACCTTGACTTGATTGCGAAGAGTGCTCCTAGTAGGTGTGTTTATTGATGCCCAGCTACTTCACATTATGCTAACGGAGAAGATGCCCTGAGTAGAAGTTCTGCATTTACTGTCCCCCAAAATTCAGGCGACAAGCCCATCTCTCTTTCTCGCTATTCCTGGATCTCATTCTCATACAGCTCAGATCAAGGAATTCAGAATATACCACCGTTCGCCATTGTATCAGGTCGCAGACGCGCTGAAAAGCATCTATATGGAAACACTGGAGACCATCAATCCATTCACATTGGCACCATGGGAGGAACGCGTGCGGAGCGATAGTCATGCTGTACCGGAGACACAGACCGAAGCGGGCGGAGTTATGAGAATCGCGGTCAGCAGTTCGGCGCGGAATATGGTAGGATTTGGCGTGGCGATTGAGAAGCAGCCACCTCGATATCAAAAACCGAGGCTGAAAACTTTCTCCATCACACTGGGTGCAAGAACCAAGCAGAACCCATACTGCCGAATTGGTGGCAATGGCATACGCACTGGGTACACTACAGGGACTGAAACGGTGCAGGGTCACGCTGCTCACGAGCAACAAAGCGGCGGCACTCACGCTGAAGAATCCTCGACAACAGTCGGGCCAGGAACATATCTGCCAGATATACAAGTTGATCCAAAGACTACGGAGACACGAAAACCGGATGGACATCCGCTGGGTCCTAACCAACGGTTGGGCCTGGCGAAAGACCAGGCCGGGGCTGCAACGCACGAGGACACTACCCACAAGCACAGGTCCCCCGAATGAAGTTGACCACCCTGAACATTGTACGATCCCAAGTCGCAGCCAATCAATGCTTGCCGGAGAACGTAGGCAGACATTCCAAACGGGTAGATGCAGTCCTCCCTGGGAAACATACCCGGAAGCTGTACGATCGATTATCGTGGAAAGAAGCGAGCGCGCTGGCCCAGCTCCGGACTGGCATGGCGAGACTCAATGTATATCTCTATCGATTTAACGTTGCAGAGATGGATCAATGCGCATGTGGACAAGCCAGAGAGACCGTGGAGCACTTCCTCTTTCGATGTCGGCGGTGGACCACACACCGAACGGAAATGCTGCAATGTACCCATACTCACCGAGGCAACATATCTTCTTTCCTAGGTGGAAAATGGCCTTTAGATGACCAGAACTGGAAGCCTAATTTGGAAGCAGTGTGAGCCACAATACGGTTTGCAATCGCCACGGGCCGACTCGACGCCGCTTAACCGTGTCAACTCCTATACGATGATTCCAGCATCAGCAAGACCACAGCCGCGGCTTCCACGGAGACCGAGTCCGTGACAAGCATAATCACCGCCTCTGCAACAAAGGCCGCCACAGCCGTCTCATCTGAAGTAGTTGAATTCTCGCAAATAGCTTTGCTTTACATTCTAGAAAAGGCGGGCTCGTTTGACTCCGCCGTCAGTACGAAGGAAAACATCCAGTCATATCTTGTCGGCTACTACAGCAGCGCGACCCACCCATCATTGCAGGTGCTAGGCAGTTATGACCTGGACTTTAAGAACAAAACCATTACGTTACCAAACGGGACCATGATTGGAGGATGAATTGAAGTTAGGGTTTGTGTACCGAAGGAGATTAAGGAGAGAAAAGAAACGATATATAAGAAGACAAATGATGTATCTTATAATGAGTGGCTTTTAGGTGTGTTTTAAAGGGTTGACCAATAACAAAGATCCGGAGAAAACTTATTCCTTTCTTCCTTTTACTCTTATCTCTTCATTACAACTATCGATATTCAAAGGGATCACGTCGTTTTTCCCTTCAAATCTCTCATATATAAGCGTACTTCAATAGGCCATTTCTGGTTCAAACCGAAGTAAGATGTAAAATTGGGTAAATGAGAATGCAATCAAATATCGAGTTTACAGAGAAGTTAGATGTGTCGTGATATGAGGCTGGTGCAGATCAGGAACCAAGCCGAACCACCGGAATTAATCCCGAGATATTTATACGAAGAACCAGGTTGATTTCTAATCAACTTGCCCTTCTCATTGTATATATAGCCTAATGTTTCCCTCTGAACAATCACAATTTATACCTCTGAACTACAACAGACAGGAATTGTCGGAGTAAATAAAACCATTGGCTTTACTACGAGCTGAATCGATCTTCTCTCTACTATAGTATAGGCGAAGCTACTACGTTACCCTAATTGTGATCTCATACCGACATTCTCTAGTCCATGAATTTCTTCGCTCACCGCTTTGATTTTAGACAAAAGAAATGTAATGGTGCAAGAGTGGGTGTATCAGCGCGCAATACTTGAAAACTACGCAGATCCTTGACAGCTGAACGCATCGCTTGCGAGATCGAAGGATGCGGCAAAGCAATGCAAAATCACCGAATGATTTTTTCGCGATCTGTTAGTCTCCTTTTCTGCACACACCTGCCTGAGGCCGGTTCAACCTTCCCCTCCTTGTGGGATCTCGCACCAGGACAAAATGTTTTCAAGCAAGCGAGTCATTATTTGTACGAGCGAGACAACAGGGTAAAATATTAGTCCTGCGCTGAACCATGCCAGACGAGTACAGAAATCTTCGGGGTTTCGGGGATCTGCATTGCTGGATCGCCACATTGTGCAGAGCATATTGCGGATTCTTCAACAAACTATTTTGGAACGGGTTCGGCGCTATTGCAGCCACCTGTCTATGCTTCCGCAATAGAGGATAGCGGTGGCAATTTCAGCTAGACTGTTGGATCCCCTGTACAGATGGTACTGTCCTGTCACCCTGATACGCACTACTCATGCATTAGGGATAGACCAGTACCTATAGTACTGGATTATGACCCACAGAACTCCATAACATAAGACTACCATACTATGCTACAAGACGAAGTATATATTGTATAATTGGTTTTGTTTATGTATCGGAACAATGGATCATTTATAACTAATCAGATCTTTCGTCAGCTTAATTAGTCAGCAGACCACACAAGTTGCTGTGTGGCAGATTAGAGAATACCTGACAAGTACATATACGTGACCCACACCATTGGTACATGATTACGTGTTCAGAGATTATGCCACTGTCACGTGCTTCTCTGATACACTTTTCGTGTCGTCGCCATCAGTCTGCAGGTTGTCGAATCTCAATAAGTGCAGGTGGGTCCAATGAACCGATGGTCCGTTCATGTAGTGGAGTTCGTATGCATTTCCATATCATCAACACGATGGTCAAGACTGCTCAGTAGCATTCACAAGATGGTTGACAGTAGACCTGCGACTGAGTTATCGACCCTGAGGGTCGGACGCAGACGTATACGACCCTCAGGGTCCTCACGTGACTGGCCTTCGCTCAAAAAGTCACGTTTTTATCGATTTGAGGTGTTAAATAGCTTAGTCACTCAGCCTAATTAGTTAAGTAAAGCGTGTCCCAAATAGGTAACGTGTGGCTTTTGAGGGTCTATGAGGGTCGATGCGGATAACCCTCAAGGGACCCTCAGAGGGTCAGGGTCAGGGTTAGTGTTAGTGTTGGAATATCCCGGCTGGCGAGATAATAATGAGGGCGGGTGAGTGCCAGGTCTAGTTGACTAAAAAATCAGTGGCGTCGATCCTGTGCGACAGCAGCAGGCCTTGCCGGCAATTCAAAACGCGAGGAGCAGAATTAAATCGTTCACGTGACATACCATGCCATAGGCCTATGCAAAATACATATATTCTGCCCTCAACTCACCAAGCAGAGGACGTGCAGTTGGTGTAACATCTTGCTTAGTAGGGCCAATGTGGAATTCGTCTACCAAAGGTAGACGTCTGTGAAAGACTGACAGAGCGATCGTAGTCAAGACAATTGTACTGTACGGAAGTCGAGCAGACTTTCTGATGATAGTTGCGATCCCAGCTTGCAGGATCTTCCTTGAGATCCCCGATCGCAGCGGGGGTTGAGTTTCATGCATAGCGGGTCTGCTCCACACAAAGTCGCTGGGTGAGATTCGAAGAACTGCTGTCACCGAAACCCCCCCCGCCTTGGCCCTGCTACCGCAAATTAAATGACTGGTCACCAGAGTCCGGGTATCAGACCCCGCCGATCTGGGACTAGCAAAATTCGAAGAACCACAAGAGCTGAGCCAACTCCGAATTACTGCCACACTCGGCCGGAACTCTTTAATGGCGGTGAGACTCCTGCGTCGAACTCGAGTTTACTTACGGAAATGTTCTCTAGATTACTGAAAATCTGTTCGGTGCAAGCGGACCGAAGGACGACGCCCAGTGAAGACTTTACGTTTCGATAAATTCAGGATTCGGCCCCACTTTCTCGACCCTGATCTGTGATCATTTCCAGTGGAAATATCCCTTGTTGTGTGCCTTCCATATTTCCAAATACAGCATATTTCTGCCATGCCCACATCCAGATTTAACAACAATCTCATCTCCACGGCGGTGCCGATTGGCCATATTTATCTAGGGGATGATGAGACGAATTACCTCGGGAAATGTTTTACTGGCGAGGTAGAGAACGTTCGCCTCACATTTGAGGACCAATATGGCCGAACCCGGCACCTGCAGTGCCAAATTGCTGAAGACGTGGACTTCCTCCCTAACGAAAGCGTTGTGCTATTAGAAAACCAGAGTGAGCAGTTTTATGGTTCCGACTTTATGAATCATCGCTGACTATGCACTTCAGGGGTCCACAAGTTTTATCTTCAACAGGGCAGCAAGAAGACTTGGCTGCTTTAATGTATGCAGCTACTGTAAACATTTCTGTTCGTGTATTGCGACATTAAGTCTGCGTTACGCGTTGCTGACTCGTCACGGTTAGTGGTTAATCAGTTGGTGAACCTACCTTGTTATTGTTATCAGGGAGATTTAGACCTCGACATGGTAGGGTTACGGTTCTGCAAGTCGGAACCCGTAGTCGGACCATGCGGATCGCAGGTTCCAACTTTTAGAACTGGAAGCAGACCAACCGTCCTGCGGGATCTCCCGGTTCGCATCTGCAGGAACCTCGAGTACATAATTTTGCCAAGAAATTTCCTATTTTGGGTGCATGAATTGCTGATTCATCCTCTTTTATCACTGGCGTATTTTGCCGAAATATGGAACTCAATAACGAACAGCACCGAAAAGAACCCAGTGTTTATTAATTCATCCAGCCCTTTGCTAGGGCGTCTTATTCAATACTTTGGACCAAAATTTTTCGTTCCGCGTCGGAATGAGAAGGAGAAGCAGAATACATCGAATGACGTGCCTGTTGTTATTCCTTTCCTATAAAAATCTAAGATTCTTCGATCAAAGCTATTCCACTTTTTCTACATACCTCAACCCTCATATCATCTATTGTCACTCAAGCTGAGCTAAAATAATGGAAAATACCCTATGTGGCTTCGCAAACACCGGCCCCAGCGCTACTGCAATCAACGATGAACATAAGAGCTACAGTTATGGAGATCTCATTGCAAGGGCTGATGTCTTAGCGTGTGAGCTACAGGAAAGAGATGACTCTACATCTATCTTACCGTCGATAATCCTCCTATTTGTGATGAACCACCGATATCTGTTTGGATCGGAAATGATCGAAGTGCTCATCTTAGGCTCCGCCTATTTCATCAAGCGACATAGTTTCACCGTTTTCAGGCCCTTTTTGGATACTTTTTCAGGCCCTCATTTTAGGGGCTACTCTCTTTCCTCTAATAATAGTTTTAATAATAGTTTTAAAAGAGCCTTTGTATTGTGGTCGTACCTACCTCACGACGATCCTCTTTTTGGTAACAATACTATGGAGACCTCTTGCCTCCTACGATCTGACTAAACGCCTAGGTTAGCACTTTACAATAGGTTTTGTCTCAAGTACCGAACTCAATGTTTCTATTGAGCACTAGTCAGCACTAGTCAACACTCCAAACTGGAGCCGAGATCCCCGTATGATTATCTCGCGGGATACGAGCACATCTTCACGTCCAAAGTAGTCCCGAAAACAATTTCCTCCTCCGAGCATGGTTTGGCCGGGCTGGCAAATTGCACTAGAACATCATATTCGGACAATAATAAAATTTAGAACTTCGTCTATCGCTCAGGAACGAAACTAAGCGAAACAGGTACTTTGTGGTGTTGAAGAAACAATAGTGATATCAAAAAGTAATGCATATAGCACAGTTCTGCTCCGTAGCGATAGCAGAAGACAACCTGGAAAAAAAGAGCTGTCAAAATGCGCAGATCCGTCAATCCGTCAATGCGTATAGGCACTCACATAGATGCAACTCAGACCTCGATCTAGCGTGAAACCCTAACAAAAGAAAAAGGGGAAAAAAAGACGACGACGACGTAAACATCATTCAACGTTTTGATTGGGGAAACACTGCCCATGATCAGTGAATAGATTTAAATGAGGTGGCCGCTGTTGTGCCACCTCTGGTAGCGGTAAATTACACACCCATGTTGATGAATGTTGAAACACGTCGTCGGCGCTGTTCTGTGGACCGCCGGGAGTATTGGAATGGTGCCAACAGTGAGGGAGGCTTTTTGATATACTCAATCATCAAGAAAAAGCCGCGATGCCTCCGAATACTGCATCAGATCAATGGGTAAATGTTGAACCAGCTGAAATCTGAGAGTCAGCGGTGTTGAGACCCTCACAATTCGCAAGAATTATCACATCGACTCGAGAGTAAGGGTTGCATGCAATGCTATAAGTACCCGAACTCTCGCCAGCAGAATGGTCCTTCTCAAATATTCCCATGTCATCCTGAAGAAAAGAATATCGAGCACTTCTCGATTTCGCCAGCTGCTCTCCTCCGGTATGGACTAGCCCAGCCCCCGAAATTCCATGCACTTGTGATCGACTGACATGTTGTATCGCTCCTAGTCTGTCTATGCCCGACACTGAAATCTGTAAATGGCAGGTAAGTTTAGTTGCCCGATCATTTGAGACCATGCTAACGTGGAAGATGTTTAATATCAGTTCCGTCTCGGCTGTTCCTCTGGAATTTAATCAAAGGAACTGGAATGTTCTCGATAATCAATCCAGGTTGCGAAGATAGTGAGTAATTAAGAGTCCCATAAGCTACCTATGATGATTTATCATAGATCGGAACCATCCACTACCAAAACGGCTCGACCAAACTCGAATGGCGCGCAGCAGTAGCTGGCATGGTACGTTTCGATCACTATGGCAGTTTCGAGAATGGTTAGTATGCGCTGACAACTCTCTGTATAGGAAGCCGATTGTTTTACCATGAGCCAGCCCATGTCTTGTAAGTTGCCCCATGCGATGCCATTACCTATCCCCAATGACCGAGACTCAATTTTGAGCCTCAGTGCGGAGTCTATCTGTTTGTGGCTCTTTGTTCTTCGGAAAATATCGCTGATGTCTCTTGCTCCTCATAGGGTGAATAAAACTTCACCGGCAGCTTTTGGTTCAATAGTCTACTGCCTACTGGTAGCGAGGAAACTATTGGTCTCCAACTGAGTTATACGCACACACTTGAGAAAGCGTCGAGTAAAAGAGTCCTAATTAGCATGGTCTTCGACACCTTCTCCACATCTACCCCACTCTTCAGCTCTCAACCCCTGTGGTCATGGACAGGCTATTTGACTCAGGACGGCCTCAGCTGAGAGCTGACGTGGCGTAACTTTAAGATTCACTCTGACTGGGGATTTCGGATGTCTATATATTCACAGATCCAGCCATCGTTCGTCCCAGGATAATATCGACGTTTTTGTCTTTTCTGTTTCCATCTGCGACTCAATTTGACATACTTAAACGACCATCAACATGCCCCATCTTCAAGATATCTTCGATAGGGTCGAGATCAAGGATGTGAAAAATTTCATCAAAGGCCAGTATTTCACTTTTCCATCATCTGTATTGATCTTCTACAGAGATGGTGAAAGCTTCAGCATTGACCTTGCTGGGCATGTTGGAAATGACAATGGTAGGAGGTTCTGTCATGGTAACTGATGATATCCACATCTAATCGTACCATCCACAGGGGCTTTCTGTGTTCCGGGAGAGAACTTCCACAAATCCTCAAATGGATCGAGAGTTGAAGATAATGGTGGGGGTTGGGAGCTTGCGTCTGGGCTCAGAGAGGCCTGCTCGTCGTCATATTGGTTAGCAAAATTGAAGCTAGATGATTACATCGAGTTTCAAGATGGTCAACTTGTATTCATGGTGAGTGTCCTCTGGTGACTATACAAAATACTATATGAGGGTAATGTTAACAGTCATGGGACATACAGGGCGTGAGTGATAAACAACATTCTATTGAAAGGCCATGCTACATAAGGAGGATGCTAACAATTCTCCACGCAGAATGTAAGTATCCAAGACATTTTTATCAATATGCTAATGTGAAGGACATAACGCTAATACAACAGGATGAAAAAGGAAGTAAGTAGGGATGCTACATTCGCAATTATCTTGACTTGCAACAGATCGAGCTGACAAAGAGCATTTAACAGTCGGTAAGTGGTGAACCGAACATCGCGCAGATGAGACTGCGATCAGATTCTGAGATAAACTAATAAATTCCAAAAGTCAACCAATGAAGAGGACGCAGCCGATGAAGAGGGCCCAGAAACAACAAATCGCCTTAATGTTGGGCAGACCTTAGAGCTCGGCGACAGGCTTGTTTCCGACAATGGTGAATGGACTCTGTTGTTCCAGAGCAACGGAAACCTGGTTCTCTATAGCAGCGGCAGTGCCTACTGGCAGTCCAATACAACGAATAATTCCTCGGGAACTGGATCATTCAACGTTCGACTTGAAGAAGACGGGAACTTTGTTGTCGCGCGAGAGGGTGGAGGCCGGAATCGCTGGGAGAGTGAAAGCAATGACTATGGCGCTATTACACCGTATATTCTGGTCCAGGATTATGGCGATGTTTGCCTATATGATGAAGAAGTCGAGGGTTGCCATTGGTCAGCGCGTGATATCTAGATGGTGTGGCTTTAGGATTCGGCCTTGATATTGGTGGATTAGTAAGTCGTTACTCAACACTAGTCCCTTCAGCCACTATAAGCTAACTGTTAGAACTAGTCTTGACATGGGCCTTTCCTATCAAAACAATCGTGCAAATGTGAGGGATAGTGGATGCTATTAAGCTTGACCTTCTTCTACCCTAAACAAGTGGCTGGATGAATCAAACCTTCCCTGCAAAGCTCCGTAGACATGTATCTGTCAATCAATAAGCATGATACCCAGCCAACCACGAGTCGTATGATGTTAATACCTGCTCGGTCCCTCAGTCTTCCTGGCGGGCATCCATTCCTGCAGTCTCCGCATCCCCGCGAACACTTCTCCGCAGCACCAGGTGTCCACTAAACGAGGGACAACAAGTCCATTTGGAACGCTCGACAAGACTGGGGAAAGCTGGCAAACCTGTGCTGGCTAAGAGAGCCGGTTTCTTTCAGTTGAAAGGGACCTAGTTATAGGCCGCAGTCCGAAAGAGCCTAAATACATTTACTCCTTGAGGTGGTTTTCATCATAATCAAACGATACTCTCCTTAGCCTTATCAGTGATATTTCGGGACTTGTTGCGTATAGTAGTTGCCCTAAGGCGTTAATCTCAATATATAAAGCAATCAAACCATAAAGAACGGGTTATTTGAGCTGTGGCGAGACCGAATCTGCCCGGCCCTAAGGATTTGGGGCTTCGACCACTGGGAACCAAATTAGCCTTTCTACTGAACGTTTATTCCATGATACACTCCTCGTCTTCTATGAGGACCTCTGGGCAGACTACGAGAAGGATATCAAGATCTTCTCCAAAAGACCTAAGTTTCTTTGTCGGCACGGTCGGAACAGCGAAGACCTGGCCCACATTCAGCAACTGAAGGCAGGCACGGCGACAGAGTCCCTCGTTAACACCGTCAGCCGTCATTCACATCTCAGATTCCTTCGCCTTTTGTACTGTTACCACCACCATGAACATTCGATCATCTTGGTGTGGGAACCTGTGGAACTGTTCTTGCAAAAGTCATAGGGTCCAAGTACTCGATCCGGGAAGCAGAACTTAGCTCGATAGCATGGCCAGTCAGTTACGAAGTCCGCTTCTTGCCATTGGAATATGAGCGCCGCGCTCATATACTCCAGATCATCCAGGGTATTCGGTACCTCCGTGACTCAAGCAGAGCCCTGGGCCATCTCACATGCGAGACCATTTTTCTGACCAGTTCCGGAAGTGTGAATATTGGTATGTGCGGCTCTAGCTGCTAATGCTAGGATTGACAGAGTCCGCATGTGTACTGACGCCGTTCCGTTTTCTATCGCTCAGCGGACGTTGATCGCGGTTGGGTAATCGATAGGGAGGACATGAATGCTGCGACGCTGAAGCTCTTGGGTGTTCGCAGCTTGCCTTGCTCGCAGTCTAGATGAGATTCTAAATTACAACCACAATACACTATCCCGATCGGACTCTTGGGAACAGTCGAACTAGGGCCATGTTCCACTAGCTATGTCAGCATGCTTTCCGGTGAATGAGGCTGGTACAGACTTGCCATCAATATAGTCTGGCATCAGCATGGGCAAATCAGAGACGTAGTAGCAGGCGTCAGCTCGATCACACGTGCGCGAGGGCCCGGAACCACTCCATACCGCGGGGAATAGATGTTGACAATACCTGCCAATGCAGATCTGTTTCGTATTTGCTGTTCGTGCGCCATGCAAATCCTGAACTGTGTTAGGGAAAAGTGTGACTGGAGTAGAGACTCATGGTAATTAACCTAGGGTAAATTAGAAACTGATCTGAAACGACTGCTCTCGCGACGAGAGGTCTGGGGTAGATCCAGTGCTGTGGCCTGCCTCGTCACTTGCTCAGCTGCAACCGGGGCATGATAGAGCCATCCCTCAGCCTGTGACCAGAAGCCCAATTCCTTATTGGTTGATACCATCTTCGGAGAGATCATGGTCTTTCTCTTACTCGTCAATGCTCCGCTTCCCTTCGTCATCACTAGATACTGCGATAGCTCACTTGGCGTAGCATGGGACCAGATGATGCCGTCGTCGAGACTTCGAATCGGATATCGGACAAGAGGTGCAGGGCTGCCGGGATACGGAAGCTAATATAGTGACATTTAACCTTTGGTCAAATAGGATGAAGCTGAGAGAGATGAAAATATGTTGGAACTCTACCGTATGGCTAATCAAAGCACACTGAGCCTTCCTAGATTTGTTCCGTCAACGTGAGCGAAATGGACGTTTCAAGCAGGTGTCCTGGAACTTAGTTTTGAGGGCAATGGGGTAGTACGGCACGGTCGTGGCGAGTGCCATCTTGATATTTGTCTTATGACTAGAAAGTTGAATCAGCGATCGTTTCTGATGGATAGAGAGCACAAGATAAAACCCCAAGTAAATAGCAGCCGCACCGAGATCCAAAATGCAGCCCCGGCCATGGGAGTAGACAGAGGTAACGCACCAAGGTGACTTAGAGGAGATCGAGCGGCTCGTGATCGAACGTTTGCCTCCTCATACAGGGAGTAGTCAGCACAGGATGAATACTCTCCAAATTGCCGCTGATGAAAATTCCGTTGTTAGCTATTGCTGTTCGCTGCATTCTGGCAAGGCCGAAGATGCTCCGTAAGGGATTACTTCGATCTATCACTTATGTTAGTAGTAAGCTTATGAAGGAAACCTATAACTTACCGTGCTCGCAGCTGGTATAATTTTTGAGGTCATCCGAGGTCCTTCAAATGATTTCCTAGAGAAGTAGTGGAGGTGGAACTGATCTTGAGCATATTCGATGTCAGCATGATTTCAAATGACGGGGCAGCTACACTCACTTGCTATTTGAAGACTTCAGTATCCAAGAATGATAGGCTAGTGTGATGCAAAAGGTCAGTTAAATTATAAGTGCATGACTTCGAGATCAGTCCATACCGAAGTGTTGCTAGCGAAGACAAAAAAGCAATCGATATTCTTTGCCCCAGAGTGACAAAGGAATGCTTGAGACCGAATGTTCTGTTGGTGAGGGCTCGTGTATTTATAGCATTACAGCCGAGCATTCTGCTTGCGTCGATGCGATGATCATTGTCAATTGTGAGGGCACGAACACAGATGATTCATTAATTGCAGCTGGTTCAACATTTCATCATTGATTTAGTGCAGCACTCGAAGGCATGGTATTTTCCCCTGATGATCCAGCATATGAATTGTTTTTTCTCTCTGTTGGTCTCGTTGAGAGCCGTAAGGATGCCGCAGAAAAGCACCGATGCCGAATATCAACATTCACCACCATGTGTCGGTACGTCATTGCGACGGGTGGGGCGGCAACAGGTCATGCCGTTTCAGTTCACTCACCGATGATGAGCGCCTTATTCAACTCAAAGAACACCTCGTCGGGATCGTTGCGCCTCTGGCTACCTGCTAACCCAACCGCAAGTTTCTTCCTCTTCATCCACTGTTGGTGTCTGCCTCGTATATCAGAGAAAACTTTTACGTTTCCGTGGAATAATTGTCTGCCATCAGCCTCGTCTTTGCGTAAGGCAATACCCACATCAGCCTCCCGGGAAGTAAACTACATGTAAATAGAAGCCAATTAGTGCCATGAAGAGCCCACATACGCACAAGTATTGAATGCAATTATTGGTTGATATCTGGCCGTGGCTCCTAGGAGCCTGTGGGTCGTCAGTATTATTACTATAATTGGATACAATGAATAAAATTATATCGGCAGATCAGTAGAAATGATTAGTCCAAATTTGGCGCTGAGCTCCTAGGAGCCTGTGGGTCATAAATTCCTTGTTATCATTTGGTCGTGCTAATAAATGATGTCCATCGCATTTAACCCCCATCCCGGTGACATGAAATGCCCTGTGTGACGAAACTCCCCCCAGGTACCTGCATATTCGAGCACGTTCACTCCCAATTTACATATGGAATATTGCCTGGGAGCAGCAAAAGAATTATCATTTGATTCCCTATTTGATCTGTCAGCGCATCGAGTGGTATTTTACCACTAGCAAGCGATTGATTACCCAGGAACCCACATTTCTTTGTGTTTTGTATCGTAAATTAGCAACCTCGGTGTAATAACCACCGAGTATACGCACATACGGGGGGGTATTTCAACCTGCCCTCAATCGCATGCTTATTTCGATTCAATCAATCAATCATTTCATCCTGAATTGGTTCCGCTCGATCTCATTCGTCCTGAATGCATACTAGTCCATATGCTTCTAGCAAGTGCTGATATAGTTTGAGATTTGGCGTATCCGGTTGTTGAAATGGACAGAGCCGACTTCAGAGTCACTAGATGGAGACTGACGGAAGTGCCTTCCACAAATGACACACTCCTTGTAGCTTTGCTGACCGGGTTGCCCCATTTTAAGTTTGCCGTAACCGCATTGGGTGGGGCTTAGTGTTATCACTACTAACGCCCGGCCCCACTACCCACTGATCGGTGAGCTCTGATGTTTTTTGTACTTCTTTCCAGCCCACAAGTTCGTCGATCTAATACCAATGATCCAGTTCTGTTCTCCCCAACTCCTTGAACTACCGACGTCCGAGGAAATGAATCATTTGGCCCAAATTGGTTGGTAAAGTCTATTTCACATCTCCCTTAAACGCATACTTACCGCCATACAGACTTTGTCTCCGATATCGACATCCACGCAGCCTGGCAGGAGTCCTCTAACGTACCCGCTGTACCCCCCTGCCTTGCTACCGACCGTCGCGGATTGAAGCAAAATTCACTAAACTTATCAGGTGTCTCCAGCTCTGACCTTTACGGGCTATATTTGGTCGCCTGTCTATTTTATTCGAATCACGAAAGCCAGCAAAACTTTCCGTGGACAGGTCCGGATCCTCTGTCTCCGTCTACCAAGGCGGAGGATATTTTTGTGTACTTTTCTGCCTTCTTGCTATCAGAGGAAGTCTACTGGGTGGAATTCCGTCCTTCAAGATTTGACTCGCTCAGCGATGAGTTGATCGGTGAGCACCTCTTTTTCCTGCCACGAATCGAGACAGCGATGGGGAATCTGTCTCGGGTGCGCGAGCAGATTCTCGACATTATCCCCCAAGTATGCTCTGCAGCGCAGACTGCCCGCTTCCGACTGTCCATGTGGCCCCGCTTGGAGCCCCTCCCCTACATTCAGCACTTCATGATGTCACCGCAGTCTACTCTGCCTACCTTGTCATGCCTCGATCCGCGGGTTTTCGTCAATAACCTCCACGGGAATTTTAGATAGACCTGGGAGCTGAACTGGAGATGCAGAATTGGAAATGCATCGAGTCTGTTCAGGCAAGTAGTACGTTACAGAGGCTAGTGCCGAGCTACTCACCTTGCCAAATGAACTCTTTGAATTCTAATATTAATTATGAGGCCAAATAGTGCCGAGAAAGACCGCCACGAACAGATTAGTTGATGATGTCTATTCTTTAGGACCCTTGTCACTTGGACTCCACATTTGGTGTGTCAATTAAACAAGAACCCATCGTTTCTGTCTCACGGGCCGACTGGACGCCACTTGACCATGTCGACCAACACAAACGAACCCTTTCCCCCAAACTAACTCTCATCAACCACCTCGTGCCCGAGACGGTAGGCACGCTTCAACTGCCGATAATAGTATGTTGAAAACTTGAAGAAGCGCCTTCAAGCCAGTCTACTAACAAAAGTACTAACCCGCGAGGACCCGCCACGATATCGATAGCTGAGATGGCATATACTGAAAGGAACAATGTATGGGCTCTAAGGAGGCACTGCATATAATAGGCCATGTATTGGTAGATTAGTCATAGTTGCCCTTTCGGCTTAGCCGCCGGGCGTTGATGAATTGTGTGTGTGTATATGCAGCGTGCAAAATTGCGGAAAAGAAAATTGAGAGTTCGAAAATTGAGAGTTCCCGTGCGATGCATTTTCAAGTCCCGGGGGAGTAATCAACTTGAACGTGGGGTATTATATGAGGGGTAGCTCGGTTTACGTTCCAGGTACTTAACCAAGCACACTATTGCTATGGGCTATGGGCTCCCCCTACCTGCGCCCAAGTTCACATCTTATTAAGATTCTGATTTCGTCCCTAAGCAATGATCTAAGTTAATTTACGTTGATGAACCTGGATGTGATAAATGGGCGGGGTTTAGGCGGACAGGCTGGTCACCACTTGGGAAGATGGCCCGAATCTAACTATGTTCTGGTTATGAACAATGCACCATTCCATCATCCAGAGCGGATTGCACAGAAATGCGTGGACAGGGGTGAAACTGGCCCTCCGCGAACCAGCCATGTAGCGGCCGGGAAGGTTACCCTACAGGACGCACTGGCCAGTACGTGAGGGACGCTGACTTTCGGCGAGGGCGATCTGTTTCAACCCCCGCCTGGTCCTGTCGAGATCCACCTAAGGACTGCACTGGAGAAGACGATTACGGCGGAAGGTAGTCGTTATATTACGTTCCGCACCACTTCCAAAGTACATTTACCAGCTGCTGCCGATGCAGTGGTTTAGCAACACAGTCATTCATGCCCCTGGCCAGGTAGGTCTCGGCATCGCCCTTCAAAGCGTTCCCTGTCAGCGCAATGACAGGCACAGCTGCATTCATTTTGCGAATATGCTCTGTCGCCGTCAAGCCATCCATGACCGGCATATTGATGTCCATCAAGATCAGGCTGTAGGCGAGTGGCTTTGATTTCACCATTTGCACGGCTTCCGCACCGTCCCAGGCGGCATCCAACCGGTCAAACCCGAGACTATTCAGAAGCTTTAGCATGATAGTGTGATTGATCTTGTTGTCCTCGACTAGCAGGATATGCGTCTGCGGGGCAACCTTCTGGAGGAGGACAGAAGTATCAAGCGGCGTTTCGTCTTCCCATGAGCGCGACTGATTTGCTTGAAAATTCGATGTATCGACGCGACCCACCTTTACGGCCATCCAAAATACGTTGCCCGGCCCGTCGGGATTCGCATGGAAGCCAACCGTTCCATTCATCAACTCGGCTAAAGTTTTGCAGATCGAGAATTCCAGCCTAGTAGCCGGAAAACTCTTGGTGGCTGAGTCTGCAAATTGGGTTAAGGGTTCGAAGAGAGAATTGATAGTATCATGTGGGACGCCGACCCCGGAATCCACTACCCGAGCCGTGATGATATATGTCTCAGGATCATCCTCATCGACGGTGTACGTGACATCGACGCGGACATATCCGCATTCTGTGAATTTCACCGCATTGCTGACCAGATTCTGCAGAACCTGCCGGAACCGCAGCCGGTCGCCTTTTACGTTTTGGGGAAATTGGGGGGGGCAACGGTACACCCTAAGACTACCCCGGGCTTTGTCCCCGACTTACATTTGCGGGTCACCATGCTGACCTCGTCGGGAATACTGAAGATATCTGTGTGCAAAAGTAAAGGATCCGACGACAGTTGGGAGTAGTCCAGCAAGTTGTTTATCACCTGCATGAGGAACTTGCCTGAGTCCTCGAGCATGGATGCATATTCGCGCTGGTTGTCATTCAGCGGTGTATCCATAAGCATGGCCAGAGCCAGAGACATCCCGTTCATCGGGGTGCGCAGCTCATGCGACATGCTGGCCAAGAAACGAGACTTCAGGTTGGATGATTCTTCGAAAGCATCGATGAGGCGCGCTTCAGCTGCTCTATGTTCAGTCATGTCACGGGTGACCTTCACAAATCCCACGTGGCGGCCATATTGATGGGTCGCCGTGATCATCACATTGGCCCAGAATCGTGTGCCATCTTTCCTGTAACGCCATCCTTCGTCCTCCACCTTGCCCTCCTGTAAACAAATCTCCAACTCCCGGGCGGGCTTGTTCTTCTCACAGTCCTCGCGCCCATAAAAGATGGAGAAATGCTGGCCGATGATCTCTTCGGCTGTGTACCCCTTCAAAGTCGCGGCCCCCGAGTTCCAAGTCGTGATGTGACCCCATGTATCCAACATGAAAATGGCATAGTCCTTCACGGCGTCGACAATAACTCTGTACAGCTCGTTCGGATAGACCTGTTCCCCCATGACCTTCAATTCAGCCATTTCACGTTTCGCTTTTTGCACCTCCATGAGTACGTATATCAAGTCATCGTCGTCAAAAATCGGTGTTATGTGGAATGCGATGTCTACATCGTTCCTCCCGACGCGAACATTGTTGATCACTTGAACGGCCCGCGTGGCGATAGCCATTCCCAGCGCACCACTTAACGATGCGATGTCTGGGGCCAGGATCACGCGCGGTGTCAACGCGTACACGCTAATGTTGATTGTCTGGTCCCGAGGCGTATCGGACAAAGCCTCGTAGCTCTCAGAGACTTCCACTACTTGTAGGGAGCCGTCTAATACAATCGTTGGTGTCGGTGTGCAACGGTAGATCCGTAGAATTGTATGACCGATGCATGTGCTAGTCGGCACGCCGGCCGCAATTGCAAGATTCTGGGGAGCCTCGTGCTCAGGAGCCAGCGTCTGGGCCGTAGGTTTGGCAGTCAAGGTGACATTTCCGGTCCGACAGTCTTCCTCTTGGTCCAAATCCATCGTCGGATCAAATCGGTCCTAACCACTCTGAGGGAACAGAATTCGAATGAGCGAATGACTGATTCGTTCAGCCAGTCGGTATCAAACGGTCAGAAAGAAGGAATATTAGCTTGGGGTATAAAGAGACTGGCGAACAAAAACGACGAAACGCCAGACACGCTCATATTACGGGTTAGCTCGGTTGCTGAAAATTATCAGCTAGGGCACAGCGAAGGTCGTTTGCTCAGTGGCGCAACCAGGGGCCATAGACGAAAGGCCTCCTTTGGATATTTTCCAAGGTGGCGCACCGCTGGTGCTTGGGCGGAGTTAACTATCTAACCGACTTAAGAACAAGTCACCAGACCCCCAACGAATCACATTTGCCCAATGCCAGACTCAGAAATCAAAAGCTCAACTTTCGGGTTCCATCATGTTCCAGACTAGTTTTACGGAGCTACATTTTTCCGACTTGATTGCCGAAACCGAGATGAAGCAAGGGACCACAAGAGGGCGAATCTAGTCAACAGTTCGACGGTTTGGCTTTTGGTGAACTTGTCACATCGCCGAGCTAGCATCCTCCCTTTCAGATGTAACAGAACCTGTGTGTACCATATCTTAAATTTACTACGAAAACCGACGAAAGATAGTTGGGCCAATCACTTTTATTCGCTTACAGGCAGCCAATAGTTCGCTTACAGACAGCCGAAGCAGAAGTCGAAAACGTGTTGTAGTTCAGAGGTATGAATTGTGTTATTGTTCAGAGGGAAACATTAGGCTATATATATACAACAAGAAGAACAAGTTGATTGGAAATCAACTTGGTTCTTCGTATAGATATCTCCGGATTAATTCCGATGGTTCGGCTTGCTTCCTGATCTGTACCAGCTTCATATCAACAAAACGGATTACCCCTCAGACACTCGTGCTTTCTTTCCCAGCGACCCACCCAGATCGCGCTAAACTAGATCTGGGTCATGAAAACCCCACTATTCTTTCTTGATGTATCCGTCGTAGGTCATGAAAATTACCGTAATTGCCGTTACCGGCCTTATGGACCCATATTTGCCAAGACGCCCTGGCCATAGCCTACCTAGTTTTAGCTTGGCCTCGATTGCACCAGTTTTGAGGATCCTAACGTCCCCCCCTCCCCATCCCAGATTTCCCTTTTTTTTTTTTTTTTTTTCCTCCCGAAACTTACAAAACTGTTGCACTGTGGATATGCTAATCCAGAATAACAAAACTTAATTCTGCCTCATATCTTATTCGATAAACATGATTTTTAAATACATACATCTGACAATGGTGGCATATTTCGGGTCTCAACGGGAAAGTGACAGATAACCGAAACAAGCTCACTTCGGACCCAAATTCGGTCTTGCGTTTTAGATACTATCCTTATAGAAGGAATTCATTGCTGTTCGAGCAGATAGAAGACTGTCATTCAGATTGCCGATTTCTTCCTTAATGAGGGTAAGACGGAACATCTCAATTGCTTCTGCGACCTCGCCATGTATACTCATCATCGCACTGACTCTTCCAATATTTTCACAGCTTTCGTGAAATTCGCGGAAGCCCAACGCCACTGCACATTGTTGCAGGGATTCACTGTTGAAGATCAAAGAAACAAAGTCTCTTTTCGAACTACCCATGAGCATATATCGTCAGAATGCCAGTTCACCTCTCTTAATTGCCTCAAGTTATGCACTCTGATTAAGGCAGGTTTGCATCGGGCATCAGCGCTTACAGGGCCATCTCCATATAGTCCACCTTCTCCTTGCCTCTTTCAATGAAGCCATAGAGCGCTGTTGAGCTACTCTTTCGATCTTCTTCCTCATCCGTCTCCAACAACTGGGAGAAGACGGTCATATCAAGTACTCCCTTCATCTTGATGTTGAGTTCATTGTTTTCCATGATCCTTTGAGAGGCTATTAGATGATAAGTTAAACGCCAAATGAATGGGTCGGCTTGCCTTTATAGCTCTGTACTATGGAATCCTAGAATATAGTATTCACAGTGCAGCAATCTCATAGGTTTTGGAAGGAAACCGCAAAAAAGAAAAGAAGTAGTCTTGGGGTTTTGGGTGGGGTGGTTCCACAAGACTGGTGCGATCGAGGTAAAGCTAAAACTCAAGCTAGGCTACCTATGGCTACAGGACATATTTGCCAAGTGCTGGAAACTGCATTTGCGGTAATTTTGATGATCTACCAGAAATTCATCAAGAAAAGCTGGTGGGACTTTCCTTGACCATATTAGGTTTAGCGCTACTGAGTGGGGCGCTGTAGAAACAACATGCAGATACGGAAGGATAGTTCGGGGAAGGATAAGACATAAGAGAGAGTGCCAGGATGAGGAATTGATGTACTGGCTAGGTAGTACTGAACATGTCCAATAGAATCAGATGATTGATTGATTAAGGATCAGAGTGGTTGAGCACCCGTGAGAGTCTGTATCGTCCAGTTTTGGTGTGTTACGGCACCGTACTCCGAGTCTAGCCCGAATACCACGCGAATACCTCTGGAATTGGGTGGACGATGAATATCCTATCCCGAATGGGTCTTAGTGGTATTTTACCACTCCTTCGGTTGGACAGAAAGGAAGAAGAAAAGAATCCGGGAAAGATAACGTTAACGCAAGAACAAAACTCAAAGACTATTAATTTCCCCAAGTCAAGAACCATCTCACAACAAAGCTTCAAATCTATAGGCTACAACCTAGCATGGATAGCCATCAATCTGCCTTTTCTGATTTGTCAGGATAGTGAGACATTGCTGCCGGCAACGATACAAGTCTTTTTTCTTTGTTATTTGCTGAAACCACAGTAGTTGCCTGCTGAACATCACTTGCAGTATCCTCACTAAGGACCCTTCCCGTCATCTGCTCCACGTACCGCTTGATGTACCCCTCACACTGTGAATGCTTGAGGATTTCAAGTCGCAGATCCAACAACTCGTATTGTAGCCTATTGGTACCAGCCAACAGTTCCTTGTTCCTAGCGGCTTGCTTTTTCAGAGTCGATTCGTCCTGCTGGTTCTGTAGTTTTCTTTTTTGACGGCATCGTTTCGCTGCTTGTCGGTTACGTTTGAGCAGCAGTTCATGATGGGCTAGGGGCATTAATGGTTTTGATGGTTGCATGGTTGATTTGGTATTGGAGGCAAGGCTGCCATTTACCAGTTCAGGCTTCGGCTTAGTAGGTTCGATAGAAGCGATGGAGTTTTCTCTGTTCGCATTCGGGCCGTTGGGTTGTGCTTTCATATCCGAGGAGACGCATTCTTGCGTAGTCTTCAGATTTTCGGCCTGTCTCAAGGCCGATGGTGCAATGCACGATAGGCTAAATATCTCATTCTGTGATATGTTCTGGTTGAGTTGGAGGGGAGAATATGGTTGTATTGATGATGCGTCCAAGGTGAGGTTGACTGACTTTGGGAAGATCTGATTGAATTCTCCCAGTGACAAAACTGGCGGTGGTGAAATGAGGGGTAAGCCGCAGAAGGAGTCATCTTTTACCTCGGTGGTGATGGCGTCGAATGGGATAATGTTTACGTCGTCGGGGCCTAGACTGTCGATACCGTTGAGCCACGTAATGTTTTTGAGATTCCCCATTGTCGTCGTTGTTGCCGACTCAAAATCCAAAAACTTACGGAGACCTCGGATTGTTAATGTATGTGCTAGGTTTAAATGGGCTGAAGAATCTTTTGATCTGCCTGGCTATGTAAGTAGTTCACGGAGGAACTAGCAAAGTAAGCCCGGCGGAATTTCGTCTTATGTATACCAGTTTTCTGTAGATAGTGGACGAGGGTGGTTGGACGAGCGAATAGATCTACGACTCTGTCAAGTCATCTTACAAAATAGAATCCATTATTTACAGAGGGGCAAGATTTCAATCCAATAAAAACCCGTCCTCGAATTTCCCCGCACTGTCCGGTGACTCACTCTTTGGGGACAGAAATCGACCGGATATTTGGGCCATCGAGTGAGGAGGCTCGGGAGCCTAGTCACCTACCTCGACCCCTCAGAGTTTGCTTTCCTACTAGATCAAAATACGAATACAGTACATATGTACTTAGCCTAATGGGTGAGGTTTACAATCAATCGCGGAGCAACACACAGGCTACAGCAATTATATATTTCCATGCACACACATGTAGGTTATAACTACTACTTCCAAAAAACGGACTTAGAGCTTCGTCAAATCCTGTCGTGACCGAATTGCCGTTCGTGTTGTTAGGCTACCCTCGAGGCGCGCGGCTTCGAACTCGTTGTGACGCCCCGGCGAAGTCTAGAACGGCCTCGGCCGCCCTAGCCCGGGACATATGTACCCGTCAACCTCAGGCTCTCGGTCACCACGCTCTCCAACTCCCTTGCCGTCGCTGCGGCCTGGCACCATCTTCACCCCATATTCGTAAGCTGCACCCCGAACGTGGTTTGTCTAATTTTTGTTGGTATATTTTGAGGAAATTGGCAGCTTTGAGGATTACAAAGTGGTCTCCGGTCACACTGTCAGCTCAGATGGGAAGTGGGACCCTAAGAACCGATTCGGTCAAATTTCTATCTTTTTTTTTTTCTCATTTTTAGCTAACCTTAACTCATTTACTAAAAAGGAATTCTCTTTATTTATTTCATCTATGCCTGCCGACGAGAGTCTTTGATTTTTTTTTTGGCGTTGGCAATGAACACGTCTAGTTAGCAGGACGCAGGAAACGGCCACACCCACCGCCTTTCGCCGGAACTCATTAGCCATAAATCAGCACTTGCTAAAAGTGTCAGGACCAGTATGCATTCAGGACGAATAAGACAAAGCGGAAACACCTCAGGATAAAAAGATTGATTGATTGAATAGAAAACAAGCTGATGAACTGAGGGGGTGGTCAAATTCCACTAAGACCCTTCAGGATAGGCTTATTCGTCGTTCACCCAATTCGTCCTAGTATGGTTTCATAACAAGCCATAGTTCAATTAGAAGAAGAGACCCCTGAGATCGCTCAACCGATCTCAATACCTTCAATCAATCATCTGATTCTATTGGGCATGTTCGGTACTAGCCAGTAGATCAATTCCTCATCCTGACATAAGCATTCGATAGGGGGCAGGTTGAAATACCTCTGTATGTGCGTATACTCGGTGGAACACAAAGGAATGTGGGTTCCTGGGTAATTAATCCGCTTGCTAGTGGTAATTTACCACTGCATGCGCTGACATGTAAACTCGAGCTCCTGAGAATTGGAGCTTTCGCCTCCGCAGGCTGTGATGTCATCGCCATGATCAGGCGCCTCTCCTGGGTGTCATTAATTCTTCCTATCCCATACCTCGGACATGGCAAAAATTATTCCAGAGGGGCTGAGATCCACTGACATTGGCCTCTTTGCCATGAGAGCAGCCCAGATCGAGAAGACCAAGCCTGTGATTGCCTATTGGTGTGAGTCTCAACTCCCTGGATGCTGCAGTGGATGTTGGAGCTTACTGAATCGCCAATATCGCAGGCCACTTTCACATAGTGAATCAGATCATCGGACGGGGTCTTCATAAATCCAACGATGAAATTAAAACCTACACCACCAACCTGGTGGATAAGCTTGAGCAGGTTCGCCGAGTCCCCAAACTCGACCTCTTTCCTGCTCTTTACTACCTGCTCTTTACATGACTGACAACGATTGTGACTGACAACGATTGTGACTGACAACGATTGTGACTGACAACGACGCTGTGATATAGTTCAAAAGCGAGCATTCTGGCGATGAATCGGTGGTGGATAGCGTCGTGGCGAGTGCACTCGTCGAGCGCTTTGGGTTGGAAGTTTTCGCTCGCGCTGAAGATGCTATGAACGCTAACAAGGTCACAAAGTGAGCTCCCAAATGTTGCTTGTGGCTACCAAGATGCCTCTTCTCTGATTTTACTAGGCAAACCGCAGATACATTCCAGGCAGCGGCTCTATTTCTCGAACTACGTCAAATCTGGGGGGGCTCTGGACCCGGAAATTGCCGGAAGGATCAAGTTCGGAAAGTATCATGCAGTCCGAATTGTGAAGGCGATCAGGAATGGCGAAGATCCCAATGCGACGAATCCTGTTCCAGAAGAGGAAGCACAAAAATCAATCGCCAATCTGGAAGTTCGAACATTCGATGGATCGGTAGCGGAACAGCCCTCTCCATCCAGACAGCCGCCAATCGAGAAAATTCCAGAAGAATTCGACTGTCTAAAAGGGCGGGAGCTGACCCAGGAATTGTCTCTTGATGAATCGCTTCACACTTCCCGAGCTTCATCACTTCAGTGGCCGCCTGCAACATCGAATCATGATATTCCGTCTGTACTCGATGATATCCCTGGTTCTCCTGCGCGAACAAAGGAAATCAGCAATCCACAACCAGGAGACTTAGAACTCTCCTCATCCCCGGGGACAATTGGGTACTCTTCTCCAGTGCCGGGCCTACCAGGTATTCCCGGGGCCTCAAATACCTTGCACTCCTTTCCATCACCAACCACTGGTTCTTCAATCGCCGTACCGGCCTCAGATTCGTTCCATGAGCTATCGGGCACTAGCTCTCATATTCCGCATCCTGCAGCTGTGCCGTCCGGACCACCTCCAGTCCTACGTGCATCTCTGGCTCATGTGCCCACTGGACCACCAAGTCAACCATCACAGTCGGTCGACGAACAGTCTATCTCTCTGGCACAGAAACATGCTCACTGGGCGCTCTCTGCGTTGACATTCGATGACATCGACACGGCCATAAAGGAATTCAAGAACTCTCTGAGACACCTGGGTGCAGCGCGTTAATATTGCTCTTTTAAGACATAAAAGCTAAGGCAACCGATAAAACTACTCCCGTTATACATTGTGATCGCAGTAATACCTTAAAGATCCCTATATTAGCTGGCATTGAACTACTCGCGTGAAATGGGATCATTATTCCTCGGGACTTTCGCCACCCATCCGAATCAATTCCTCGTATGCCTTCTTCTTGTCCATTTTGGTTACACCAGGACTCTTCTGAGCTCTTAAGTAAATTAGGGTTGTTAGCCATATCACATCACTGTAGCCACTTTCATTGATTTCAGCACTGACGCTTCAGGTCCAGCAGGGACTTTGCTCAAGTCTTTGCTTTGACCACCTCTAGCATTGTATAGCCTTTTGCATGACTGGTCACAGTCAAGATCTTGATCAAGTTGTACTTGATCGGGTCCCTTTACCTCATCTGAGGCATTTGGGTTGCTTAGTCCTCTGTATTGCAAATTGTAATTAGCGTTGGCCATAGACCCTCAGCGTTTAGTTGCCAGGTGGTAGTCCACGAACGACTTATAACCTCTCATAGCATCTGGGTTCTCTTCGGTATTGGACATGTCGGGGTTCCTAGCTCATCAATTAACTCCTAAATATATTCGTCGATTGATAATAGTGAACAATGCGTGAATAAAATGTGCAATGTCTTTATACCTTCTGATCTGTATTACAAAACTAGCGTGTTGTGTCGTCACGCATCCGTCATCTTCCGCCTTTAGGCATATGACGTAATTCATCACGGAAAGAAGGGAATTAATACAGTCTGTCGGAAGTTGTCGTTACAGTACGGACTAGTACGGGCATGGCCAATTGAGTACTTGAGAGTGTTGATTTTGAATACTACGGGAAGTACAGAATAGTTATAACTAGTTATGCGATGTGGGCTTAGTAAGATCGTTTAGAGCCATGCAATCATGGTTGAAAACAGGCATGTGGGGGTGCTGAATATTCCCCGGGCGCACTAGTAAAACTGCGACCCTCTTTTGTCGACACCATACAAAACTGTATGGTAAGGGGGGCACTTCAAATTGAGACTCCTTGCTATCTCATTCGTGCATGCTAATTAGGGCCCACACCTGCTCCGACAAAATAGTGGGCCATCCACGAGCTGTTATGCCCCTTTTGATAAGGTGGGTAATTAACAATCATAATTGGCTGCTTGTATATCCACCGGCTCTGAGGCGTGCGAACTATTCTACTGAGCACTGCCTTGTCATGACGATCAAGACCCAAGAGGACTCTCCTATTAGGGGAAAATTGGACCTAGATTGGCCCTGCTTGTTGAAATATCCTCGGGGGGGATTGGGCGATTCCTGGACTTTATAACCTAAGTCTCATAAGCTGCTCTCCCGAGCGCCGAGGGACAAAAAAAAAAAGAAAAGAAAAAAAAACCAATTTCCAACTGGGACACGCAACGTTCATTCAAAGTCATCCAGCATCAACCGCTTTCTCCTTTCATTCGAGCTCGGTCTGCCATATTTTCCTTTCAACTCCGCAGATTGCTCGCCATGGCTTGTTTCGGGGACAAAGACCGGTCGGCTGGTTTTTGTCTTGTTAATCGAAGGCAAATCAGAGGTAGAAGATCCAGCAGGGGCGGACTTTTGGGTATGTGAGCCAAACCGACTGCTGTAACGTCTTTCAGTCAGATGACGAAGTGCCTCATCCGTCATTGATCCGACTAATTGTGCTGAATTACCCTGAGAAACAGCTCTTTTGATGTCGAACAGATCAGCCAAAGTAGTCACTACTACTTGATCGCTGTCGCCCTCCGCAATCACCTCTCCAATTCTGTATGTTTTCTGATTTGACACTTCACTTGCAACTCTGCATACCTCTAAGCACTGCTTAGAACTATTGATATCTTCTTGTAGACGAGCCCTCTCTTTCTCATCGCTAGGGTCGTTTTTCAAGATCAAGCTCTCCAGACGATTCCGGAGCTGACTTATGATCAATGAGAAGCTATCACGATTCTCATCCAAAGCTTGACGTGTGAGTAGTTGCGCTTGGAAGCGTTTGTCTCCATCATCTTCTGCGTTATTTTGTGATCGGTCTTGCAAAAGAGAAAATTCTCGGATTCCTATGGATTCGATGCAATGTCTCGCGTCTTCGCAAACACGAAGACACTGCTTGGTAACCTCGCGTTCGTCGTTTAAATCCACTGTTAAATCAGAAGAACCTGCGCTGTTGATGTTAAATCGTTCCACTTTCTCGTCGATTCGTTGCAGATGCAGCTCGAGATTATAGACTGTATCCTGAATCATCTCATTGTATTGCTTGAGGACGTCCTGGGATATTTTGGCGGCATGTCTTGGGGACACGTTAGCGAAACCTCGAGAATTAGGCAAGGTGACAAACATGTTAACGGTACCTAAGCCCACAGAAATTGTAGACTTGTAGCCAGATATCATTTCGATGAATTCGTTGATGTCTCCTCTCATGAATTCCATTTTAGTCCAGTCTCGAATGCTTGTTTTCGACTTTCGCCAAAAAGACTCCATCGACTCTTCGAACTCTCGACAAACTCTGCTGCATCGGTCGATTGGACTCTGCAGGAGCTCCAACATTGTAATTTCCTCGTCAATGACACGCGCCAAGGACTCCAGGATTTTTGTGAGGTCTTGAAGCTCATCTTGCAGCCTTCCGAGGGTTTTGTCACGACCTCTGTAGCGTGAGACAGCACCGTATAATGATTTTGTTGATTGAACTGCGGCTGTTATGACAGCAAGCGCTGAAGCAGTCATACTTATTGGATCAGCCATCATCTAAATCTTTTGCAGGCCCTTCTTGTTGATGCTATTTAGGGAGAGAAACGTATTGAAGGAGAATTGTTTCCTCGCCGGATAAAGGGCGGGGTAGGGGGCTTTCATCACGTGCCTAAACTGATTGGCTGAGTTTAGGCGTCGCCGAAACCCACGCACGAAAAACCAACATACGGGTTGGGTTGGGTCTTAGTCAGCAGATCCGCTGTCGGAGCAGCTGTGGACCTAAGTAGCATACACGAATGAGATAGCAAGGAGTCTTAATTGAGAACGTCCCTGTTACCATACGATTTTGTATGGACAATCTATCTACCGAATATTACAATCACGTTACTAAATACAACATATGACAAAACAAAGCTCCATATATTCCGACATGAAGAGAAGTTTGGAGTGCTCAGCTCGACCTAGTGAGCAAATCCCGACGAGGTTAAGCACTAAACCAGAAAGGGAACGCGAATGCAAAAGGTTTCAGAGGAAATTTAGCATGTAGCTGAAAAGATCAATGTGGCGGGCGCGCGATGAAGGGCGATTCTTATCCGCTCTCACTCTGTCTACGTAGCCAAACATTGAAAAATAGTTGGGCTCCATAGCCCCTCGGCGAAAATGTTCCAGCCGTAAACAATTTCTTTATCTTCTATCGGGCGCACAAGCATGATGTGCTCGCCGCTGGCTCAGCTAGTATCTAACTCATAGATCAAATCACAGTATTTACGTAGATATACGAAAGTGGTCGCTTATATTAGCCGATGTACTATGAAGTCGATACTCTTGGCAGGGCTAAGAGGTCCCTTTATCGCCTTCAGGCTCTTCCACCATTTCCTTACCCGTGCTGGAGCTAAAGGAAAGTGACTCGGAAGATTGAATTGAACCCCCGCCGGGACCAGCCTCGTCGGTTTTTTCCGGGGAACTTGGCGAAGTCGGGAATTGTATCACGACCATCAACGCAGCCACTCTGCCAATCAAGCTTTCTCCGCCCTCAGCACCCATCGCGGAGAAGGTGTGATCTGTGAGCAGGGTTGCGGCGCTGCCGCGGACTGAGCGGGTGATTGCGGACGCAGTAATGAGATAGACATCCACGAGGAAATTCCGCACTGCGTTCCGAGCTGGTGGAGAGGGTCCGATAATGAGGAAGATGGATTGACTGGAATGCGAGAGAGCTTTCCGAGATTTGATAACGAAAATTTAAGAAAGGTAATAGGTAATAGTTAATAGTACCTAGATCTGGTAGCTCAGCGACGAGGCGTGTTTGGTAGTATTGCGTAGTCGTGTGCAACAGTTCCATACTAGACGCTATACTTCATAAACGGCCGCCATATGGTGAGGAGTAGGGGAAGTCACACTCGAGAAGCTTTATGAATTACGAAGATGGAGGGTCAGGCAAGGATACAAGGACTCTGTGTAATCTATATGCAAGTGATTTTCACATCTCTACAGAATTCACAACTCGACTGACCTTTACCAGGATAATTGCTGCCTGAATGTTTAGGCTGTACATTGTGGCCCGAGAATCATGGCCACCAACACTCCCTGGTTTCCTTCCACTTTCACTCTGAAACTATTCCAACTTCAACTTCCCCAACTACTCCAAGAATCATGCCTTGGTTTTCCACATTCCCCAGGATCCCGCCACAAGGAATTTGATTCCAGCAGCCAGCCAAAGGATTGGAGCGATGTTCCCTGTGGCCTTGGTGACCCAGCCCCCAACAATGGCACCCGCCAGCGTTAGAACGAACGCTATGATACGACGGTCCCGCTTGTCGTTTCGCAAGAGAAACAGTTTCGGGTCCGACATCAGATCGCAGAGCAGACTGGTGATTACCACGGTCGGAATCTCGTTGAAGCCCAACGCACGACTGGCCACGATCTGTCCTGCCGACTGAAGACTAAGAAGCACGATCGGCACTTCTTGGTCCCATCGAGTGATGGATTGTGATAAATCGTCATCGAGAGCACTCGACACAACTCTTCCCTGAACGAGGGCAGCTGTTATGATGATGATGCAAGCTTGGATGAGGAAAGACAGCATCAGAGACCCCCGACGCCGTGCCCCAATGATGCGATTGAGCCGTGCAAAGAGGAAGCAGCCGATCACAAAACACACGATCGAGGTCAACGAGTGTGCCCATCCGAACGGACGCGGGTTTTGATTTGAAGCTCCCAGTCCCACGAAAATGGTATTCCCTGCAATGCGAGACATCATGGAATATCAGCATCTCTACACCATCTCAAGCTCATTGATTGCTGATTGTGACCAACATCGCGTTCATACCAGTTTGCATAGACACAAAAGTGTTATAGGCTGCTCAAGTCAGTTCGACCAGCCTCAACTTCCAAACCAAGCCAACAAGACGACGCTCGTACCCTTGTATATTGTACTATCCACCAAACCCGAAGTCAAGCAGCAGGTAAACAATAACAGGTCGGCATGGCGAGGATCGACCTCACCTCCCAAGAACCTGGATAATCCACGAAAAGGTTTCTCAGGTTGTTCCATTGCAAGTGACAGAAATCAGAATGTATGACGGGAGACAATTTGCTCTTGTTCCTATGGGGCTAGGAACTCGCCGGAATATGTGAGAAGCCTAGGCGAGGGTCCTCCCCTCCCTGTCGGTCCGTCGATCTCATCCTTTTTCGGGAACTCCTCTTTCTTCATATCGGGGATGTGTGTCCTTCTTGGCCTGAGGGGCAAAGCGAAACAACCCCCCACGGATGCTGGCTTCCAAGACGAGCAAGCCTGGGCATGGACATGAATCTCCGCCCGGAAAGACCGAACAGCCTCTGTCACCATTTAGCCTTCGGGTAGATCATTCTTCGGCCGCAATCTGAGCATTGGGCGGAGTGTCTGACCCCCGCCTGGACCGGATATTTTGCCTTGCACACCGGCTGAATAAGGTGGTCCTGAAGCGCCAAGAAGGACTCGGGGGGAATTTGTGGTGACACTCAGCGGCTTGGCGCCGTATCTGGTCTTGCCCCTGAGATCCACCACACCACCCACCACACCACGGAAGTTGTGTCACAACGGCTTCTCGTGTGTGGGGGATAGAATTAAACTTCCAGCTTTGTTTGTGATCGTTCTGCCCCCTCTATGGGTCGTCATGGCCGAATGATGAGCCATAGCTTTATGTTCCTTGAAATTAAGTTATAAGAGCAACTTTGAACTGACGGATATACTCCCCTTTCCCCCTCCGAAAATGGAGGATACCACGCTGTTACGCTCCCATGGCTAATGTGGCTGCTGATCTCCCGAAAGATTAACTGCGAAAAACGCTTGGCGAACTGGGGTTTGAATAATTGAATCGCGGGCCAAGAATTATATCACTCCCGAGCACTGCCCCCTTCACCCCTGATAGGAATTTGCAGATGCAAGTGAGAATGCGACTCATGCGCAGCTGCATATGCATTTGCCGTCACTGGCGTCTTCAGACAGATTATCTTGCCTGTGTACTCCGTGTCAATTGCCTCTCTTCTGCCTCGCCTATCCCATGCTACTCATTTTGCCTTTGTCCGATTGGATCGCAGTTCCGTTATCAGGACCGGAGCCTGACGATTTCACCACCTTCTTCCATCCGTGCCGTAAATGGCTTGACCTTATCGGGAATGATAGTCATCCTAATATCTCCTCGGCGGTCTTCACGCCTTCATTTCCTGGCAGGAACTAACTGGGTTACCATGTCATCTATGCCTCCTTTCTAAGCCAGTACGACCCAAGAATGAGCAAATGATCAATTTCTGGCTTAGCACATGATGGGATGTTGCATCCTCAAGAGACCTAAGCCCTTTTTTTCGTGACCAGTGTCGGAGATCCGCTCGGGGTTATTCTGCGCAATTGAATTCACTCGAAAATCGGGCCATGCTACTCCGGATAGGAGACTATTGAACTATAAGTAGTGAGATCCGAAATTTGAATTCAAACCAAATCATAATTCGCCTTACAATCACACAAACTCTTTCTGTCTTTTCCCGTCGTTGTGCTACCGTCGGCACAATGACAATCACTATCACTGTTGAGAAGGATGGCTTCTATGAAGTCAATGGAATGCGCCATGAGCCTAGTGTCTCTCTTTATGTCATTCCCGCTGCGTCTAAGCTGCGTCGAATGCTGAAGGACTCCAAGGACCTCATTATCTGCCCAGGAGTGTACGATGGTCTGTCTGCTCGAATTGCCATGGAGCTAGGCTTCAAAAGCATGTATATGGTATGTCATGCGTTCTGGTTGCTCCTCACTTGGGCCTTGGGCCATAACTGATGTCAATAGACTGGTGCCGGTACAACTGCTTCACGACTTGGAATGGCGGATCTGGGTCTAGCTCAGCTTCATGATATGAGAACCAATGCGGAGATGATTGCCAACCTTGACCCATTTGGTCCTCCTCTTATTGCAGACATGGATACCGGTTATGGAGGTACGTCTAGAAGGGCTTGCTCAAATAATACAACTAAACATGGATGTGGAGCTGACATGCTCAATTGCAGGGCCTCTGATGGTGGCCAAGTCCGTGCAGCAGTACATTCAGGCTGGCGTGGCTGGATTCCATATCGAGGACCAGATCCAGAATAAACGATGTGGCCACCTTGCCGGAAAGAAGGTAGTGGGCCGTGAAGAGTACCTGACGCGAATCCGGGCGGCCAAGTTGACCAAAGATCACTTGCACTCGGATATTGTCCTCATCGCAAGGACTGATGCCCTCCAACAACATGGCTATGAGGAATGCATCGCCCGCTTGAAAGCAGCGCGAGACATTGGGGCAGATGTAGGTCTTTTGGAAGGGTTTACATCGAAGGAGCAGGCGCGCCAGACAGTGCAGGATCTTGCCCCCTGGCCTCTTCTCCTCAACATGGTAGAAAACGGTGCCACTCCAGTGATTACCACCAAGGAGGCGGAAGAGATGGGATTCCGAATCATGATCTTCTCATTCGCTTCTCTTGCCCCGGCTTACATGGGCATTCGGTCGGCTTTGGAGCGCCTGAAGACTGACGGGGTGGTCGGAACGCCCGATGGGCTTGGACCTCGTAAGTTGTTTGAGATATGCGGACTTATGGAGTCTATGAAGGTGGATACAGAGGCAGGAGGCGATGGCTTTGTGGACGGTGTCTAGGGAGTGATGAGAAATTGTTGATTGAATTTCTGTGCTTCCTCTTGTTTCGTAGCTAAATAGAGCCAAATCCTCGATAAAGCTATTTTGAACCTTGAAATCACAACTAGCCCCTACTTAAAGTGAACGACTGGAGAAATCCGCGGAGAATCCAGTTTCAGTGACAGTCACAGGATCCGGCTCGATTAGTTGGACGACTTCCTTCTCCACAGTGATCCAATTATCAGAGATTCATTGCAGAGCATCGGCCATATACTTTGCGAGACAGTCGCTTCAGTAGAGGATACCCCGGTCAAACCCCGCATTCGTTCTTCGAGGAAAGGTGTCCCCGGGCAGCTCCAACGGAAAAAGTATACAGATGCTTGACCGCTCAGGTCTCAGCTTGAACCTCGCGCATTCCAGTAGCAGGTCTTTCAATTGATGCTTCCTTTCCTTGGTATTTGTGAGAGTATACAACCCGAAGAGTTCGTCTATGTTTTGTGTAATCTGATCACAAATTTCGCCAAGTGCTTCCCCCGCGAGAGATGCCCCTGCAAGGCTAGTGGAAGCACGCCAGTGTTGCCAAACATGCGGTGGGACTGATATTGTTAGCACAAAGCCCCCGGTTAGGTCAGGTACGCTAACTTACAAGCTCTTGATACTTTGGTGTCAACTTCATAGAAAATTTCGTCATAGAATCTGCCTGGGAGGCCAACCATATAGCGGGAAAATATTCCATGGTGGATTTGCTCGGAGATGGCTGCCTGAATAACCTGAATAGTAAGAGCAGAATTGTTGTAGCTAAGCAGAGCTGCATCAAGACTAGCATTTTTTGTAGACTGTGCTGCATGGAATACTTGGTTGAAATGCCGTTTGGTCCAGTCCTCCAATCCCCGAAAAACCTTGCGCATAACTTCAACGACCTCACCATCGTCAACGCTTTCAGTCCATTTTGAAGCTCAGTAAGCTTGGCCAATGTCTGAGATTTCTCTTAGTACAGTCTCTGCATTTCTGCGTGACTCTTGGAGTAGCTCATTTTGCCGTCGAAGGCTCTCCTCTCCGATCAATTGCGCCATCCGCGCCGCGTTTGCTGTCTTCTCGGCAATTTCTAGTCTTTGCATTAGGCTTTGATTCTCCCGATGAAGATTCTCGATCTCTGCAACAAGATCAAATTGAGTTTCAATATCTGAGTAATTTAGCTTGTTCTTGAATTTGGAAATCTTGCCCTTGCTTACCTTCGAAAGAATCCCCACCCAAGTGCTCTGGGAACGTTTCAGGAAGGAAAGCCGATAAGACGCGGATCAGCGAGTTTCTCTGTACTGTGTTCAGGTGTCACAGATGGGTCTTATCTCTCAACGGGTCGTACCATGCGGTTGACGCGTAGTCGACGACCGGCGTGACGCATGCCTGGTAAAGCTGTCGCATCTGTTCAGGCCGCAGGTGCCGCAACCCACATAGAACGATGGTGGTTTTGGTTGCGCGCTTGATGGCCTGCTGTACGTGTTCCTTCCATCGTAGCTCCGGGTCAAAGACCACGCCCAGCAGATTCGTTGTGGGTGAGGGTTAAACAACTGTACCATTCACGACTATCTGGCCTTGCAGCCGGTCTCCTCTCTTCCTGGCGAGGTGAATGAGCTCAGTTTTCTTGACGACGAAGCAGGGTCCAGTTTGCCGTGCCCACGTCTCAATACGGAGGATATCTTCGGATTGTATGTTGGCCAGGTTCTCTTCGGCCGACCTACCCACTCGCCAGCGGAAGTAGTCGTCTATAAATGCCGAAGCGCCTCCGTGGATGGTGACGGGTTGATCAACTAGGTCAGCGTTGAAGAATGCGAATAGGATGGGTGATAGCGGCGAGCCCTGCGAGAGTCCCGCGTTGGCTAGCGGTGCTGTCTCGGTACGAAAATCGTCGAACCCTATCTTGAGCATGGCGGTCCGTCCAAAAGGTTGCAATCCATTTTCGTTCCACAGAGGGAATCCGTCTGGTTCGTAAACAGGCGTCTAGACTCATCTCGTTGGTTCCGTTAAATGCTCCCTTTAGATCGAATGAAACGAGGGTGACTACTTTGTGTTATACCATGCTTGGTCGATGGAATTCGAGAGTACCAGCAGCGTTTGCTCAGTGGTCCTTCCGGGGCTACCGCCGAACTGGGTGTCCGGCAGCAGCCCGTGCTTTTCTGAGAGATATGAAAGTCGTCGGGCGACGACTGCTTCCAGGAGCTTGCCTAGAGTGTTGAGGAGTGAGATCGGACGATAGGCACCTGAAATCAAATAATCTGGCTTCCCAGGCTTCCTTAGCACCACAATCTTCGTTCTCCGCCAGTGTTTCGGGTGGTACCCTAGGTTCACTGAGGTATTGCATATTTTGGTGATGACGCTCCTGAGGTGTGTCCAAAGCTGTTTCCATTAAAGCATCGGTAGATTGTCTCCTCCCGGGGCGGTGGTTCCTTAAGCAGCTTTGAGGGATCGTTGAATTTCAAGCTCGGTGATAAGCTGCCACGGGAGTTCCAACGGGGCCGCCATGGACGCGTTGGTGACTGGCGTGTCCATTTTGGGGAAGAAGAAGCGGAGGAAGGCCTGCGCCTTGTCTTCGCTCTCGATAATTCCGTGGCTGCCCACCTTCAAGACCCCAAGCTGTCTCGGGATTTCATGTAGGTAGTAGCCTCCCAGGGATTTCTTCCCCGGTTTCGTCCAAGAACGTCCTCCAGTGTGATGTTTTAGCCTTTTCAATGGTCCAAGTCCAGGCTCGTCTTTCCCTAACGTTGCACAATGTTCCTACAATCTAGACGCAGCCTGTTGACAATGTCTTGTTGAACTTTAAAGTTTGGCATAAACCACCGCTTAGAGTAAGGAGTTGGGCGTGTGTCAGGTGTATACTGGTTCGCGGCCTCCGTTGTCGCATCTATGGGTTTCTGGACCATGTCGCCGAGGGTTGGTCGAGTTTTGATTTCTTTCATGGGTCGACCTGCTTAACTACCTCATCGCCAATATTGGTCCAGTCTGCGCGGGTGTAGGCCTTTTTTCCTGTTTGGTAAAGGTACGTTGGGTTTGGAGCTTCCATGGTCGGACCTGTAATTTTCATGGTAGAGGTGGCACTTGATGAGTCGATCCGGTCGGTTCGTCGCCGTCAGATCAATTGCGGAGGTCCTCCCTGGGTGTTAAGGGACCGGTGTGTTACTGTCCCTCTAGCAAGACAGCCATGTAGGCTGTTGGTCTGAAATAAATTGACTAGGTCGATTGCGCGTTACGGCGAAAGGTTCCAGAAGTAGGGCGGAAGAATCACGAGACTAGATCTTCTGATTCCCAGAGAATACGATAATCTTTTTGCTTCATGCTCATCTCAGAAAATCGAATCTCCGGGTCGTTCGCATGAGTCTTGACATGTTTCTTCAAATCATGGGGCCGCTTGTAAGAGTCGCCGCAGACATGGCATTCGTGAGGCTTGAACGGCACATGAACCCGAACATGGGAGGTAATATGGTACCGCTTGGCAGCAGTAACATTGCAGCTACCCCATTGGCATGCCAAGCTGAGGTTGTTAGTGGCCTTGCGGTCAATATGCCCCTCGCAGATGTGCTCCTGTGTTGCAATAACAGTTAGAAATTTCGGGGGCAACTGATTCGTCGACGAGCTTACATATAAGGCCTCGGCAGTGAAAAACGTTTCACTGCATCCAATCCATTGGCAGGGCAGTTCACGAAACCTATCTGTGGACGTGCGATTGACAGCCGCAGTGGCGGCCCCAGTACGGACGGCGGTCGAGGGGATAGAGATTGCAGTTGTCTTAATAGACGCGGCTTGCTCAGTGTCCACGACAAAGGCGGAAGTTATCGAGGTCTGCCGCGTGGTACTAGAAAAGCTGAAATTGCTTTCCGTCATGGTGCCAAATAGAGCTATGCTGACAGAAAGCCTCAGCACAAGTTCAGATGAGTAAAGACGTGGGGTCCAAACCAACCAACCTCTAAGAGTGGAAGGAAACGAATTGAGGTGACTTATTCTTGAGAATGCGGTAGGATAGGAAATATACTTTCCAGCATACGTGGTCCAGAGGTGAACGAGAGAGATAAGGTGAGAAACTAGGGAGAAGAAGAAAGGGAGCATGTCAGGCGGAGTTAGCATCCGCGGGTCTTCAAATTGGGAGTCATCAGGGACCTACTCCGCCGAGCGCGTGCCGCGGGGAGGATAAGGCGGTGAATTTACGCGGCGTAACGCGTCGTTCCCTTAGTCGCGTGGGACGCATTGGCAGCTCCGTTCGAAGTCAACAAACTCCACCTGGTATGTATCAAAAACAACCTTGCATCTTTGGAATTATCAACGGGATAATTAGACCTTCGCGGCAACTGACTGACCATGAGCATCGCAAGTCTATTTCTGCCGGCGAGTCCGTGCCCCTCGGTGGTGACATAGATGAAAAGTGACTGTTCGGTCGGCTTTCGGCTGCATTATGCATAGCCTAGTTCGGAGGGAAACGGTCATCTTCATATCAGCGATTTGATAACATGGTTAGTTTGCTTCCAAAACGTCTGAGGGATGAGAACGTACTTTGTCAGCTTTGTTTCATGAAGTTGGTTATAGTGGCAGCTTTCAATGGTCGTCTGCATTGGGAAACTGCCAAGGCAGTTCATTACCAATGTTACTCAAACTATCGCTAATGATCAGCAGATGGCTCGATATGTTCGTTTGCAACTCACCGTTCTAGCGGCATCAATGAGATTCCCATGCCAGCCATCATACAGTATCTTAATTGGATTTGTGGGAACGGCCAGAACAGGCTGAAGTTCAATATATCTCACGTCAGCAAGATTTCCTGTGACCGAGGGCTACACATACTTGCTCTGAGTGTAGCTTCACTTCGAGCACGGGCAAGGTAGAGACGAGACAGCAGGCGTCAGCTCGATCACGACCCAGGGGTCCAGTATCAGTCCGTACCCAGAGGAAATAGATGTGGGCACAGGCTCATATTCTCCAATGTATAGCTGTATGCTTTTGCTGCTTATGTGGCCACAGGCAGTGGCCAGGCGGGTGTTCAATCATGCCAGGACAAAGAACCACTAGTGGCTAGTGAACAAAATATTTTGATGTTTTGTCCAGGGCAGGCTAGGAACTAACCTCAAAGCGAGTGCTCTCGCGGCGAGAGATCCGGGGAAGTTCTCATACCGCGGCCTGCCATGTCGCTTGCCCGGCTGCAACTGGGGGCTTGACAGAGCTGACCATCAGATTGTGGCCGATAACTCAATGCATCACTGGCTGATTCAACTTTCGGAGAAACCGTAGTCTTTCTCGGTGCTCGTCGCTGCTAGGTTTCCCTTCGTTCTTGTCGGATGCTGCGATAGCTCGGTCTAGCATGGGACCGGACTATGCCATCGTCGAGGTTTCGAATCGGAGGTGGGGCAAGAGGTTCATAGCCGTCGGAATACAGCAAGTCCCTAATACATTGACAGTTAACTTGTACCGGACAGGGTAATGCTGGAGAGATGAAAACACTTTGGAATTTTACCGTACGGCTAACCGGAGGCCATCAAGCCTTGCTGAATTGGGCCCGCTAAATACGCCAGGCGAAGTGGCCGCGCCAACCATGTCTTCAGAAACAACAAAGGCGCAATCATACTGGAAGTCAGTGGCTTGGCCCATCAGGCTGGTGCACCTGACTTAGTTGCAAGGATGATGGGGGAATACGGCTCGGTTCGTGTCGACTACAATAATCACATTCGCCCTATGGTGAGAAAGAGACATCAGCGATATTTCTGAAGAACAGAGAGCCCCAAACAGAAAGATTCCACACTGAGATTCAAAACGCAGTCCCGGGCGTTGGGAATAGGCAGTGGCAACGAATGGGGCAACTTACAAGACATGGGCTGGCTCATGGTAAAACAATCGGCTTCCTATACAGAGAATCGTCAGCACAGGCTAACTACTCTCGAAAATGCTATAGTGATCGAAACTTACTTTGCCAGCTACTACTGCGCGCGGCATTCGAGTTTGGTCGAGCCGGCTTGGTAGGGGACGATTTCGGTCTATGATAAACCATCAGTAGGTTGCTTATGGAGGCCCTTCATAACTCACTGTCTTCGCAACCTGGATTTATTATCGAGACCATTCTAGGTCCGTCGATTGAATTTCCAGAGGAACAACCGAGACGGAACTGATAATAAACATCTTCCACGTTAGCATGGTCTCAAATGATTGGGCAACCAAACTTACCTGCCGTTAATAGATTTCATTGTCGAGCATAGAAAGACTAGGAGCGATACAATAGGTCAGTTCGATCACAAGTGCATCACAGTTCGGGGTCGGGCCAGTCCGTACTGGAGGAGAGTAGCTGGCGAAGTCGAGAAGTATTCGATATTCTTTGTTCAAGGATGACAAGCGAATGCTTGAGAACGACTGTTCTGCTGGCGAGAGTTCGGGTACTTATAGCATTGCATCCAACCCTTACTCTCGAGTCGATGGACCAATCCTTGCGAATTGTGAGGGTCTCAACACCGCTGACCCTCAGATTTCAGCTGGTTCAACATTTACCCATTGATCTGATGCAATATTCGGAGGCATCGCGGCTTTTTCTTGATGATTGAGTATATGAAAAACCCTTCCTCACTGTTGGCACCGTTTCAACACTCCCGGCGGTCCGCAGAAAAGCGCCGACGATGTGTTTCAACATTCATCAACATGGGTTTGCACTTTATCGCTACCAGAGGTGGCACAACAGCGGCCACCTCATTCCAATCTATTCACTGATCATGGGCAGTGTTTCGCCGATCAAAACGTTGAATGATGTTTACGTCGTCGTCGTCTTTTTCCCCCTTTTTCTTTTGTTAGGGTTCCACGCGAGATCGAGGTCTGAGTTGCATGTAAGTGAGTGCCTATACGCAGTGACGGATCTGCCGATTTTGACAGCTCTTTTTTCTGTTTGTTTTCTGCTATCGCTACGGAGCAGAACTGTGCTATCTGCATTGCTTTTTGATGTCGCTATTGTTTCTTCAAGACCACAAAGTACCTGTTTGGCTCAGTTTCATTCCTGAGCGATAGACGAAGTTCCAAATTTTATTATTGTTCGAATATGATGTTCTAGTGCACTTTGCCAGCCCGGTCAAGCCATTGTCGGAGGAAATATCCCACGATCCGGAAACTGTTTTCGGGGCTACTTTGGACGCGAAGATGTGCTCGTATCCCGCGAGATAATCTACCCGCCGCGGCGGCGGCAGAAAAAGGGGTCTGTCTCGCAGCGCAGACGTTCAGGTCAATTCCTTAGGTCGCAAGCAGCTGCTTCAAAATCATTATATGCGACCGAGTCGCGGCATGGTGTAGTGGTGCCGAGGGTGTGTCATGCCGACCGAAGCCACCGATCAAGTTGGCATCAATGTCCTCCTCAGCTAGAAGCCTTTCGGTAATCTCGTAATATGACAAAAACGTCGACCACCAAAGCGGGGATTTGCCGTCATTATCTATACAGTTCACATCCACTCGAGGATGCCGGAGAATGAGGTCGACCACTTCCAAGCTTCGACTGCGGACAGCGAGATGGAGGGCTGTCGCACCATCACTGTCGATTACCGCCAAGTCAAGACCTTTCCGCCCCAGGAGCAGCTTCACAGCATCCACAGATCCATGCGGGACTGCCTGGTGCAGTGCCGACGCATCAGAGTGAGCATACATTGGCTGGACATACTCTTCCTCTCGTGAAAACACAGCCTTCATAAAGGGCCTATCGTATTGAAATGCCCAATCCCATGGCGAGCGACCAGAAACATCGTATGCGTAGGGATCACCACCGTTGGAGAGCAGCGCTTCCACCAAGTCGATTCGACCCCACCATACGGCGAAATGGAACGCAGTCTGGCCTCGTCGATGCCGGAGATTCACTGCGCAGCTGGGCAATTCCAAGAGAGCCCGCAGCGTCGAGCATGATCCATATGTAACCGCAAACCATAAGGCACTTTCCTGCTCTCGGTTTTGGATATTGATATCTAGCCTAGGGCTTTCCAGTAGGAGCTTGAGCACTGCAGATGAAGAGTACTTGAGAGGCCTCATGACCGGGGTTTTCGCACGAAAGAAAGCATTGACGTTTGCTCCGTGGTGAAGCAACATGAGCGTAAGATCAACATTGTCATCTTTGGCGGCCAGGCCCAGAAGATTGCTGTTCTGATATTCGATGTTGAATTGAAGGACTGCGGTTCGTAGTCGGTAATACAGCGCTCTGCAGGATCTTGCAAGAGCGAACTTTGCGCTACCATGTAGGTATGTGGTAATCATCAACACTATTTCTGGAGGCAAGTCTCCGATTTGAGACTATTAATCTGTTTAGTTTCCCATGGGCAATATGTCGTGAGGATAATTAACGAACCATGATGTAAAAGAAGTGTGAGAGGGTGTGAAATTGAGAGAAGCTTGTAGAAAGCCAAGAGACGAGCGCAGCTTTATGAAGGGCTCCAGTCCTCAGACCAGTCCATCCGACTAAAGCGTTTGCAGCTATAAATAGGTATTAGCACAGGGCTTCTGGGATCACTTCAGTGGTTCCAGGGGCCTACTCTCTGATGCCAAAGTCACCATTGAGGCCCCAAGGCGCTTCGTTGCTCCTGGGAACGTGGAAGGTCTTCCCCGGGTCACTACAATTCTCTCAGCATGTCACAATTGATGTGACTCCAGACCACAGGCTATTTCTGTCCAGAGAATAAGGGGTGAAAGTGTCAGGGCATGCTGAGTGCCGCGACGCTCCAGATAATACCATGCATTTTCAGGCAGCATCGGATCCAGTATGCCGAAAGGGCTCACTACTTACCACTTTAGGAGCCGTACAGCTCGCCACCAAAGCCTTGAAGAATGTTAAAGAAAATACCGTCTGAAGAATACCATGGCCACGGTTGTTGGTGAATTTAAAGTAG